TCTTTTTCTTTGGCCTTGCTTTCCCGGACACTTGACATTTCTAAGCTAGAGCAGCAAGAATTGGAGGGGCAGCATTTGTTGGAGACTCCTTAGTTTTGTCCTTGACCAAAGAATGAAATGCTTTATGTTAACAAAAAACCTTTATGTTGAGACTCAATAAGGCCTTGTACAACAGAATTGGGGTGGAATGGCCTGTATTGTATCTGCTGATGCTTCTCGTGTGTGTGTTTGGTGGACTAATGCCATTTGATTTGTTGTAAAATCACTGAGTTCTGTGGGAGTCTAGGTTTTCCTTAAAGAGGAATTCCATGGATTGTCAATATTTCTGCTTCATGCAATCCTTGAGATGAAAACGGAGTCATTCAGAGTGGCTTGATGTAAAATGCTGCACTGTAGAGAAACTTACCAGCCTGGATTTTCTTTACAGTGGTGGTGATAGGAACCAGGGGTTCAGTGCAAATATAGCCGTTTTATTTACTATCCAAAATGAGCAGTGAATCTAAACATGTCTTCATATATCTATAAATATATATATATGTATACACACATATAACTTTCTGTGATGTAGTTTTGAGAGGCGTGCAATGCTTCAGACGTCTGGTTCCTATCACCGTGAACAATTCTGACTCAGTAAATTTCTCTAGAATGGAACATTTCACATCAAACCACTCCGAATAGCTTTGTTTACATCCTACCGATTGCATTACGCATAAACACAGAAAAATCAGTGGAATCCCAGATGTTTACGGGTTACTTCTTACTCATGCTCCGCTTCATGAAGGCTTTGGCCTTGGGGCCCATGGTGAACCTCCTGCTATATGACTAACCAGAGTATGTATCATCTACAGATTTACTCAGGTGCATAGTGGGCTGTTGACACAGTCATTACTGTATAGGATGTATAGTAAGGAGAAGAAAACAGTGATAGTGATAAGCTAGTATTACTCGCCTGTATCTTCAACATCCATCTGCCTTATTTGACCTGTTTTGTCCTTTGAATTAGAAAATCCATAATCTTAATGACTGAATGTGCAGTGGTGTTTGCGATAAAGGGCACATGACAAATCAACAAAGAGCATCCTCTCCAGTGTCCACAACAGAGACTGCGCTTGCTAGATAGTTAGTCTGACCAAGCCTTTATCCCACAACCTTTTGTATGTTAACAGCTGCTCACTGTGTACCACAGAAAAAGGGCAAAACCTGCCAGATCGTCCTGTCCTAATGACTGTCAGTCTCAGAAACACCTGGAAGGGTACAAAAGCCATGAAAAGATGCTCTTCGTTGATTCCTCCTGTGCTGTTACACTACTGCACATTCTGGGATCCTGTTCAGATAGCTCTCCAGCAGGAGGGTTATGTCCGGGCCTGTTTCTAAAATGTGGGGGCCCCACAGACCCCAATGATAGTCTTTTGTATGCAAGAGTAAAACAAGATTTAATACTTAATTGATTTTGAAAAAGAAAAAAATCTTAAAAAGTACATACTGAGGGGCCTCATGGTGGCCTGGGGGCCCTGATTGACTGCTTATGGCAATTATAGCAAGAAACAGCACTAGCTATGACCACTTTATCTGTTGGCTTTTATGCTTTTGTTGTCCAGACTTACAGGGAGGGGACACAGGTATTCAGTCACTATTGTTTTTGTTATCTAATATACTTGCAGTGCATTTATCCACTTCGAATAACACACAATGTCTTTTAACATTGTATTAATGAATATGAATGAAATAGTGTGTGTTTAAGCATAAAAAGATCTGTTTAAAAACAAAAATGATTGGGAAAAAAGTATTCAGACACCACAAATGAATAATATTAGTACTTTGTTGTAAACTCATTTGCAATTACAGCTTTGAGACGCGTACGGTTTGGAGTAATCAGCTTTCTTCAACATTGTAGTTCAATTTTGGCTCCTTAGCTCCTCTTGTCTTCAATTCCCCAAGATTAAAATGGTCCCTTTGTTGGACTCGTCATCTAACCAGTCTTGAGTTATTGTGGCTGCATGTTTGGGATTATTGTATTGTTGAAACATCCAACCTCTTGCAAGATGATATTAAATTCTTCTCTAATATCTCCCAGTTCATTGCACCTTTCATGTTTCCTTCGATGACATGTAATGCTTCAGCACTGTTTGCAGAGAAGCAGCCCCATATTGTGATGCTCCCACCTTCTTGCTTCACTGTTGGTGTTCTTAGGATCATATGTCTAACCTTTCTTTCTCCAAACATGACAAGCTGAATTGTTGCCAAAGATTTCTATTTTCATCTCATCTGCCCGAGATAACGGCAGTGTATTTTGTGGCTTATTGTTCTTCATGATGATTGTTTCTGCTGCTTTCAGGTCGTCCTGCAAGTCACCTGAAAGCAGCAGTCACAATTGCGTATTATTGAGCTACATATAGTGACAGGGTTGTTTAAGGTCTTTGCTTCAGCTCTGTAGCTGTTTCCCTTTGACTGTTATTCAGTGATGTTGTCCCTGAGTGCTTTATGAAGCTCCTTCATCTTCACAATGATTGCTTCTTTCCAATGACAATGTATTTTGTCTGAAAAAAAAAAAATGTTGTCTTTGGGGTCTGTTTTTACTCACAATGCTGCATGTATCCCTCCACCATGAATGGATTAAAAAATATGGATTAACAAGACATTTCAGGTGCATTTTGCACGAGAATGTTATTTTTTGCAGCAGTAATATGCAGAACTTTATATATTTATATTTGTAACCTTTAGATATATGTATATTTTAAAATAGTGTCTGAATATTTTTCCCTGTCAGTTGTTGTGAAACATTAAATGACAAAAACAGGTGTCTGAATACTGCAGTGTAAATTGCCGTTTTTTATAATTGTGGCAAAGCAGCCTCATTTAACCTCAGCCACAAGACTGAGCCAGTGTCCTTCAACATGTAGCGCTGCAAATCAGGCTGCTGTTTGAGACAGAATCTGATGGTTGGCTGAAAGAAACTTAAAGGGGAATTCCATTAATTTTACAAAATTGTAGCATAAATCCATCATTGCCATTTTACATCAAAACCATTTTACATTAAAGTCATTCAGAGTGGTGTGATGTAAGATGGTTATTTGTAGAGAAAGACTCAGATTTCTTTACAGTGGTGGTGATAGGAACCAGGGGTTGCCATGTATACAACACAAATATAGCCATTTTATTTACTATCCAAAACCACCAGTGAACCTACACCTGCCTTGTTTTTATATCTAATGTTGATTAAGGTATGATGTAATATGATTTCTTTGGGGACTATTTTGCCTCACAATGCCCTGCATGTATCCCTCCACCATGAATGGATTACAATACATGGATTAACAAGACATTTTAGTTTCAGACATCAGGCAGCATGTTCAAAACCATTTTGTGTACCAATCTTCTGTGATGGAGCTTTTAGAGGTGGACGTCTGGTTCCTGTCACCACCACTGTGAACAATTCTGGTTCTGTAGGTTTCTCTAGAACTAAGCATTTTACATCAAACCACTCTGACTGACTTTGTGTACATTCTAACCACTTAATTACATCGACATTTTGAAAAGTTAGTGGAATTCCCCTTTAAGACGGACTCAATGCAAGACATTAGAATGGGAACTCCGTGGCCTTTTTGTTTCCCTACCCCTATTCAGAGAAACCCCGCCTCCGCGCTCGGATTGGCTAGCAAAAATTGTATCGCTTGTCCAGGACTGGCTAATAGCTCATAACGAGACGGGACAGCTAGCCAATCCTAGCGCACAACACCACCAGCCAATCCACGCTCAGAGGGGCCGGGTTTGTCTGAAAACGGGTGGGGAAAGAAGGACGAAGCTGTGAAAGTTTCTGGAGAGCGAGAGAGGGAAAGAGAGTCGCGGCTGCCTCACCACATCAGCTCAGCTGTGCTTTCAGACAGACCGGAGGAGTTCAGGCTGAAGCGATGCGCGTTAATGGATGTCTCGATCACAGGTGAGAGAACAGATGCGTGAAAGCGAGTCAGCCTTATGCACGCTATAGCTGCTAAACATATGCATGACTAATGATTGCTAAACATATGCATAGTCTACAAGTGCTACATATGTCAGTCACACATAGTCTGTATGAACTAAACACATGGCTTTCAATTATTGCTGTTTGCTAAACATAACGCTCTGTAGGAGCTACAGGTATGCATACCTGTTATTGCTGAGCAGATGCATAGCCTGTATCTGCTACACTGCAAGTCCCTGTTATTATTAAACATCATGTACAGTCTGTATCTATGCATAGTCTATGTGTGCCTAACTTACCCATAAACCATATCTGCTAAATATATACAGCTTATATGAACTAAATGCATGCTTATTATTACTAAACATTATGTATAGTGTGCTAAATATGTGCATGGAAGTTAGACATATGCCTAATCAATGTGTGCTCAATTTATACATACCCTATTTGATAAACGTTATGTATAGTCTATATGAACTTAACATATGCATTTTCATGTATGCTGAACTGTCTTCTGAACATGTGCATGGCACATATGAGATAAACACATGCTTATTATTACTAAACATCATGTACAGTCTGTATATGCTAAATGTATGGAAGCTAGACAACTGCCTCATCCATTTTGTGCTAAATTTATACATCTTGTACATAGGATAAACATTATGTATCGTCTGTGTGAGCTAATCAAATGCAAACCCTTCCGCCTATATAAGCTAAATGCATGCCTGTTGTTACTAAACACATTCAAAGATCATATAAGCTACACTTATGCATGCCTACATGCTATACATATGCATAGTCCGCATGCATTACACAGTATTATGCATTACCTGATACTAGCATATGCACTGACTGTATGGGCTAAGCATATGTAGTCTACGTGTGCCAAACATTAATGCCTACAGAGAAAAAAATGCATAGTCTAATATCATGCCACCCAATGTATGCATTGCCATGTCTATGAAGATCTCCTTCGCAAAAGAACCATTTGACCCTGATGTGCTTTTCTTCTATTTAAAAAAAAAAGAAGGTATTGTCACATGTGAAGACCACCAGTGATGGCTAGTGCACTCAGCTGTAGGATGTGGACCCCCCCGCTGTGTCCTGCCACAGCTGGGACATGATGGCATGCCGAGGCGCAGGCTGCTCGGGCTTTGCCCCCGTGAGCCAAGACACGGCGAGGTTCGCCATGCTGGCACTGCTCATCCTGCTGTACCTTCTCTGCGGGGCCGCCGTCTTCTCCGCCCTGGAGCAGCCCAAAGAGAAGCAGGCCAAGGCCCGGTGGATGCAGAGGTTCGAGCACTTCAGTCAGAAGCACAATCTGAGTCGGAGCGACCTGGAGAGCTTCCTCAGGCACTACGAGGAGGCCAGCATGGCTGGGGTGCGGGTGGACGGACTCAAAGCTCGATGGGACTTCCCAGGAGCGCTGTACTTTGTGGGTACTGTGGTGTCCACTATTGGTAAGAGAACGTCTGGCAAGCCACAATGGGGTCCTTATTGTGAGTGCAGGCGAGGCAGTCATACTAGGGCCTGTAGCATAATGGGGCTAGTTGCTCCTGTCTTTATTGGCCCCCTTATATCACTACATAGGCAATTTTACACCCATGACGTATGGCTAACTATGATAACTTAATAAGATACTTCAACCATTAGCCTACATTAGGGTAATCTAGCTGACACATAGCAATAGTGAGTCAACAAGCAAATTACTTTGGGGGCCCATCAATGCTTTTGTATTAAGACCCATAGGATCATACACTACTTATTTGTGTCATTTGGCAAGCGAGAGGCAAGCTTTTGTTGTCTCACATGTGCAAAAGGGGCCAGAACTATTGGAAAATGGGATTGATTTAGCAGCTTTTTCATCAAGATAGAGTAGTAGACTGGCTTTTATTAATAAAATAAGCTTACATTGGCTTTCAAGACACGGTCTGAGAATGTGATCTGCTTCACCAACCAGCAAAAGATTATGAATGCTGGACTTTCCTTCATATCTGAAACCAAACGATTCTGTACACAACCCACTTCACATCTCTTGGGCTTCATAGCAAAATCCCCAGCTCTAAATTAACACTTAGCATGGACTCAACACTGTGTGTTCAACACTATATGTGTTAATTTAGCTCTGCAGATATCGACGTGTTTGCCTGAAGCTTTATATATAGTATAAGTTATTTATAAACCATGTTCAACCAATATTTTTCTGCCTCAATCTGGAGGCCATGTTTTATTAATGAGCAATTTATAGCCTACGTTGTGAAAACATACGAGAACAGAACACTGCATGTGTAGTAATATATACAGTGGAGTTTTTCTCAGGCTGCATTTGGTGAATTGTAGAGAAAGTGATTATTTCACTAGTTTAAGAAGCGAGAGAATAATCAGCGCTGATGCAGATTTTCATGTGGCTATGCAAGCAATGTAGCAGTGACATTTTTAAGCCTAAGTGGCCAACTTAGAGTGTTTAAAGAGCCCATATCCTACATTTTTTTTACATTTACATTTTTTCCCTTGAGATCCACTTATGAAATTGGTGGTGTCATAATTCAGTCATAATTCATTTTTACATGACCATTTTCCAATCTCTTTATCCCTTAGAATTAAACAGGCTGTTTGTGTTACTGAGCCTTTAAGACTGATATATGTAAATTACCTCTGTTCTGATTGGCCTGTGTTGTGCTTTGTTCAAAAAGTAATCTATGCTAAAACACTTTCAACTTCAACATGAATGGGCGGGGCTAAACTGTATGTAAATGTAATGTAATGTATGTGTTGGTTTTTATGACATCACAAAAACAACTTAGTTTCCATATATGGACTGGGGGGGGTGAACAGTATGTTTTGAAACCTTAACAGCGCTTACAGACTTCTTTATGCAAATAAAAAGTAAATTAAAAGTAATTTTTTTTTATATGAAATACTACTTGGCCAATAAAGCTTTTTCTCGTCTCATGTCCCACAGGCTTTGGAATGACCACACCTGCCACAGTCGGCGGCAAAATCTTCCTGATCTTTTACGGGCTAATTGGCTGCGCAGCCACTATCTTGTTTTTCAACTTGTTCCTGGAGAGAATCATAACTGTGCTGGCCTTTGTGCTCAAGTCCTGCCATGAGGTCCAGCATCGACGGAAAGGAGTGTTACCTCACGACGGCGGGCAAGGCCCAGGAGACATGAGGCAGCGTGGAGAGGACGGTCTAGCAGGGTGGAAGCCGTCAGTCTACTGCGTGATGCTGATCCTCTGTGTGGCGGCCGTAATCATATCCTGCTGTGCCTCGGCCATGTACTCCTCTATGGAGGGATGGGGATACTTGGACTCTCTGTACTTCTGCTTCGTAGCATTTAGCACCATTGGCTTTGGGGACATGGTCAGCGGTCAGCGGACCACCTACCACAGCCAGACCCTCTACAGCCTGGGGAATTTCTTTTTCATCTTGTTGGGGGCTTGCTGCATTTACTCGCTCTTCAACGTCATCTCCATCGTCATCAAGCAGGTTCTCAACTGGCTTCTGAAGAAGCTGGAGATACCGTGCCGCCACTGTCCAAGAAGGTCCCTGCGGCCGGGTCGAAACGCGGTGGTGCCCGGACACTTCCGCACGCGGGTCCGCAACATCTCCATAGATACGGATGCTGTGAACGAGAGCGAAACGGATGGCCGCAGGTTGTCCGGGGAGATGATCTCCATGAGAGACTTCTTGGCTGCCAATAAGGTCAACTTGGCCATCATGCAGAAGCAGCTGTCCGAGACAGCCAATGGCTATCCACGGCCATCTGGCTCTGCTAACCGGCACAATGAATTCTCTGGTGGAGTCGGGGCTCTGGGCATCATGAACAACAGGCTGGCTGAGACCAGCGTGGACAGATAAGTCAGACCAAATGAAAAACGACTGCACAAGAAAACTGAGGCCATATTGTGCTGTTCTTACTACAGATAAAACTGTTTTAGGGCAGTTAGTGATTTGTCTGCCTTCCATTCGTGGATCTGTACACTACTGTAGCTAAAACACATGCATTGCTGCTCTGAATGTGGTACAGATGCTCAGGTGTGGTTGTTCTAGAGGCTTTGCTGCTTCAGTCCTTTTCTACTTAAAGCACAACTAGTTCTGAAATGAGCTGGAGGAAATACAGTGTCCCTCAGTTCCACTGTTCCATTGTACAAGTCAGCTTATCAGTTTGACGCCTGTCACATCAGCAAATCGGCTTCTTCTCTAGAATTACTTGAAATGAATGAGGTGAGCTTAACTCCACAGCCATCGATCCGTACTGCGCCTTGAAGCTGCTGTCTTTAATAATTCGCTCTCATGTATTTCCATCTACTTTGATGCCATCTGCCACTACTTTGATAGAACATAAAGCCTTTGGAACAGGTGAATGATCTTGGGAAATCATGCAAGCACTTGTGTGATGCAATTTGCATTTTTCTGTAACCCACTATCCTTTTAAATTAACATATTCGAACATATATAAGAAGCATGGCGGAAGAATATGATTAAGTTAGACCCCCATTCACTTCATGATGATAGTAATGTATAATTTAGATGCTAATGGCTGTACAGTACTGTGCAGAATCAAAGACCACCCTTCATTTATTTCTTTCCAGTCAAAATGGCCATTAAATACAAGCATTTTTAAGGAGATGAGATATGAGATAATCCACTTGCATGAGGAAGCAGAACGTCAAAGGAAAATGAGTAAACAACAGGAGTTTGGAGTTTCCAAAACTGGAATTCTTAGCATCATTGGATGTGTTTGGAATCACCTGGATCCTGAGAAGCAACCAAGTTCTAAGACTGAACTTTGGAGGTGTGGAAAAATATCCCAAAACAAGTCTCCCAAAAAGAATGGAAGAGCTAATAAAGGCAAAGAACAGACACACTAAAAATGCTGACATCACATGTAGTTGTTGAAGCTGCTGTTTAGTTTTCTGTCCAATATGTTTTTTTATGCTGCTGTAAAATGAATAACTTGAACGTTTGGCCATTTTGACTGGGAATTGAACAAATGAAGGGTGGTCTCTGATGTTTGCACAGTGCTGTACCTTTTAAAGTATAAATTGCTCGGTGCTTAATTTCAGGCATTGAAGGAAAGATGTGCTTATTATGCAGGTGGAAGCAGAAACAGTGGAGTTATGGGTCAGTTATGGGCAAAGCCAAATGTATATGATGCAGGACATCAAAAAAAGAGACTATTTTTCAGCACTTTGTATTGAGAAAGCTGGTTAATTAATATTGAGAATGAGAGAAGTTATATGTGTAGTTGCATGATGAATAAAAGTCTATTTTACAGGTTTTACTTCACATTGTCCGTCCATGATTATGGGTCAGAAATTTAATAAGCTCATTTTTTATTATCATTTGTAAATTGCAAGGGCAAAACTGCTGCCGTTGTGCTTTATATTGTAGCGTCATCATCTTTACCCTTAATGCCAAAGTCATAAGAAAGCAGAATGTAAAGATTAAAGACAGTAACCTAATCTCGCCTCCTCTGCACTGAGCTGCATGTCTGAGTGTGCAGTTTATTTCATCAGTGACTAAACAGGTTAATGTTCAATTCAATGAGGATATAATGCCCTCTATGGTTACAGTTGTGTCATTACACCACCTCTGTTTTCTGTTTTTCCTTTTTTTTTTTGCACAGATTGCTCAGTTGCATTAAAGCCAGCTCTGCACAAAAGGTGATAAATGGGTTTCAGAAATGAATAGTCTCCAGACCTCACGGCTAAACATGACTGGACTCTAAATCAGTGCTATTTGGGCTATAAAAGACGTGCTGTTTTAAGAAGCCAGAAGATGAAATGCTTTTACTGTTTTAAGGAGTGGCTCTCACCTCTTCACAGCGTGCTAGAACAATGCAGAAATAGCTGCCTTATGTAACAGCTGATTTAAATAGTTAGGTTATTCCTTAGAGAACAGATACAGTTTTTGAGGAATAGCTTGGTACATCTTTTATCCTCATTGTAACTGGATCATTTTGAATGATGTGGCCTGGTTCAGTACAGATTAACCTTCACTTTAGGTTAATATTAGGCCACCATAGAAATTCAGGGCAGCTGAATCCAGACTGAAATTACACCCATTCAGGTTATCGTATATCTGGCTTTTACATTTCATATTATAACTTTTTTTTGCATTTTGTGATTGTCCCTTTTCTCCTCGCCAGCTAATTCAGGTTCAGTTATGTGTCATGAAGAGTTGCACTGCTGAACTCTGTTACCCTCTCTACTGTATTTGAGAAGAATACCTGTGGACACTAGAGGGCGCCATTGTGCCTGTTGCAGCAGCTCATCCATAATTACTGCTATTCAGAGATGGAGCTGCCAAAAAAAACACTAGTGTTTTCTTCTTCAGTGAAATAATAACTCAAGTAGAAAAGAAAGTAGTGCAAGAAAAGAGAAATAGTATCAGACCAAAAACAATCTGAAACACTGACAAGGGTGAAAACTACTTAAGTGACTGGATAAACTGAATATTTGTAGACTTAATACATTACATTTCCAAGAGAAAAAAAAAATTGTAGTGCATACAAAGTATAATTCCAACTATCAAAAGATTGTTTTCTAAAATCTTTCTTATGCTGGGTTTCTTTTGCTGAATATGTTTTCATTAAAACATGAGAAACTGATTTTTTCTGTGTGCAAAGACTAGCATTGCCCACTGGTCACCACATTTTATCTGTTAAAACATTTATGTAATTAAACATTTTTAAATACAGACTTTTTTATTTTCACTCAAATATATTTTTAGCTCTATGCAGTTTTAATACAGTAAGATTCTGTTACTCACACTTTCACTTAGGTATAATGTCTCTGTACTTTTCCCACCTCTGAGCACTGAGTTCCACACAGAACTGCAGTGGAACGTCTTACTACATTCAGCATCTATCGGCATAGTCCTGTGCAAAAGTTTGGGTGCCCCTGGTCAAATGATACGCTTTGTTTTTTCTCTAAGTGAACACACCCTCTACAGAGAACACACTTCTGCACATTTTAATGCACAGTTACTGTTTATTTGCTGAATTTAACATATTGGAAGCAAAAATAAATTATGGCCTGTGCAAAAGGTGTGGCAAATTTGATATTTAATGTTTTTTTCCCAAAAGAAAAAATCAACAAAATGTCATTTGACCAGAGGTGTTCAAACGTGCGCACACGACTGTTGAAAGCGAACTTTGTGAGGTGCTAATCTGCTATTTCAGGATTCTTTTGGTCTAAAATAAAACTATGATGTTCACAAGTGAAGGACTAACTGGAACTAAAAGTATGTTCCATCCGTTGACATGCAGAAAACAACAAATCTCCAATATAGCAAGAATATATGGGCATATTTGTTCCAAATTGTATTCTAAAGACTAAAGCACATCAAACAAAAAAATTCTAATGTATTTGAAACACTTTACATATATTTATTTTCCAAAGGGGCTACCATTATTTTATTTCAGTGCATGTAACTAAGTAAATCTCTGCTTTCTCTGTAAATTAGAGGTCAGCTCTAAGCATCTATTGGAAAACTCATATGAATAGAGACAATTATTAGTTTTTATATCAAAATCACAAATTCAGAGAGTGCAATTTTCAATTAATCAATATTAATCAATATTACCAACTACGTAGGCTTGTGTTATAAGCAGGGAAATCTAACCTAATAACATAGATCTTGAGTTAGATCAATCAAAAGCAACGAAACACTCATGTGCTGTGACATCACAACCACAACCAAATGGCAGTCTGGTGCACTATGTTGAGAGTTCAGGCCTAAAGCCATAAAACTGGACATTCTGGTCTTCTTAGCCCAAAAAAAAGACCTGGATCTCAATTTAAAGAAAATAATCACAGTTATACATACAGAGCTCTGCTGCTGACACCTCATGTTACTAAAAATAATGCAAGGCCATGCCATATTAACACATGGGAATGAGATCCAAATATGTGGCTACGCCTTAGTAAAACATGGGAACAAGATCATTAAGACGTGGCCACGACTTAGTAAGGCATGGAAACAAGATCATGCCTTATTAAGCTGGGGCCAGGGCTTAATTATCTCATTCTCATGCCTTACTAAGTCATGGCCTCGCATTAGGATCTTATTCCCATTCCTTACTAAGTCATGGCCACACATTATTTCTATTAACATGAGATGTCACCAGCAGGGCAGTTACAACACTGGTCAGAAAACTCACAATAAGATATTTTAATTAAATCGTTCAGCAATGTGGATCAGTGAGCACAGGACACACCTGTACTCAGGCCAAACTGCGCCTGGGCTGCAGCTGATCTTTACTTTTTTCACCAGTTACCTATTTACAAAATAGACCCACAATATTTAGAAACTTTTTCCTTTCTCTTATGCTACGTTTCCTATTATATTATCTCTGTAATCTGACCTCCTTTCTTTGGAAAGTAGTGGACGTTCTTTAAACTAATGGATGAAAAAAAATCCTACTTTTTACGTTGTTTTACGTCCCCAGCGACACTGGAGCGTTTGCTGCGAAAAGTAAACTTCGCAAACTTTAATAACATGCATTAAAAAAATACATAAAAATGATCATTTTTTTCTCTCGTGGCAAAGGAAGTCAGAACATCATGCTACATTTTTTTTCTGCAGTACAGTCTTTGCAAACAGTCGACGATGATGAAGGTGTGACATCTCTCCTCTGGATTTGTAGTTTTCAGTCCTCCAGAGTTCCCGTGCACTTCCACGTTAGGCGGCAGCCGCGGGAACTACAACTCCCATGATGCCGCGCATGGCCGACTGCTCCTATCAACATGGCTTCTGTCAGTCGCACAAAGGCGAACCCTTTCTGCTGGAAAAATGCGGTGTGATTGAGGAGAGGGAGTGAGAGAGAGAGAGAGAGCCGGGGTGGGGGTTTCGGAGAATGTCTGCTGCGTGTTCGGAGACGGGGCACCCGAGGAAACCCTTGCAGTAGGAGCGATCTGTTATCAATCCATTTAAATGGTGTGGCGGACGGAGGCCCAGCACTTCCAGAAGAAGGTAGGTCTGCACGAACAGACGGAGCTGAAGTCAGCTTCTCATTCGGATTTCCCCCGTTCCACCTTAAATGGTGCAGCAGTTACGTTCTGGACCTTGAGGCGCCAGAATGTAACTGCTGCATTTAAGGTGGACCGGAAAGACTGGAACGAGACGCTGGCGAATAGGAGGGCAACTTCAGCCTAGCGTTTGTGCATGTTACTGCCATAAAGCCAGCCGAGAAGAAAAATGACATCCATACCTGCAAATCTATGTATTGATCCGCGGATCATTTTGATGCAGTAGGTGCAGAAAATGGATCAGATAACATCGTTAACACCATGCAGAGCAAAGCTCAGCTCAGCTCAGCTCAGCCTGCAAGATAACATCGTATTTCAGCATCTGCAGTCTGGTTCAAGCAGAGTTGCAAAGGCGCTGCAATCACTGTTATACACCAACCAGCCTCTTCACTAACTTACTTACACCTCCTTGTTTATACCTTCACTGCACTGTCCATTTCATCAGCTCCACCTACATAAAGGTGCACTTTATAGATCTACAGTTACAGACTGTAGTCCATCTGTTTCTCTGCATACTTTTAGCCCCCTTTCACCCTGTTCCTCAATGGTCAGGACCCCCACAGAGCAGGTATTATTTGGGTGGTGGATCATTCTCAGCACTGCAGTGATACAGAAGTGGTGGTGCTGTTAGTGGGTGTTGTGCTGGTGTGAGTGGATCAGACACAGCAGTGCTGCTGCTCTTTGGCGGTCCTATGGGGGTCCAGGCCATTGAAGAACAGGGTAAAAGGGGGATAACAAAGTATGCAAAGAGATGGTCTGTAAGTGGAGCTGAAAAAATGGACAGTGTGTAGGTACAAGCAGGTGGACTTACTGAAGTGGCCCATGGGTGTACTTGCAGATAGCTGGCTGTAGTGTTAAGATTACAGTGCTGCTGCTGTTGCTGCATCTCAGTTCTCATACTGAGGTCCTGTTGGTGTGAATGGCTGAGCCCTGAGCTCTGTGGCAAAAGCCCAGCACCTCTACAACTCTACACCTTATCACTCCACAGCATGCATCATACTGATCCATACTGATTTGGGGGACCGAAGCTGAGATATAACAGCTTTGGGTTTATAAGAGTAACTTGAATCCTGACAGTACAAACTGGTGGCTGTAACCATGAAGTACAGCAGATGTTTTAAACAGAGATTTGATGGCTTGACTACTTATCAGGGGTCTGAACTTTGAACCATATTTGCTGACATTTGCTGGGACATTAAACAAATGGTTCAACAAAAAATCAGATCTACACAATTTTCACCAAACAGTTTATCGGTCATAGATTACGTACTAAAAGTGTCCCGACAGCCCCTCTAATTCCAGAATTCAGCCTCTTTTAAAGTGCACACATTGCTGACACAGGCTTTCAGTTGCACAGCCTGTATAATCTCCATAGAGAAGCACTGCCTAGAGAATGGGACGCTGGATGTCCAATGCGAAGCACTGTTAAGAGGAGTATAAAGCGCCTCCGGCATTGGGCTGTGAAACAGTGGATCTGCGTTCTCTGGAGTGATGGAGCTTCATCTAATACCTTTAGGGTGAGCTGGAGTGATCCAGAGCTAATCATCCAACATCAGTACCTGACCTCACTAATGCACTTGTAGCTCAATGCAATCTAATCCTCACAGCAATGTTCCAACATCTAGTGTAAAGCCTTCGTAGAAGAGTAGAGGCTGTTACTGCAGTTCAGAGGACACACTGGGCGAGCAGGTGTCTACAAACTTTTGGACATAGTGTGTTTGTTGTCTGGAAGTTTGCTACTTGAGTTTTGCAGTGGAGTGACAAGGCTGATATAACAGATAATAAAAAGTTTATTATCTGTAGATTATTGCATACTAAGGCTTATTATGCAGTAATTACATGATCTACAATACAAACTGGCTGGCTTATGCTTAGGTTATAGACATATGTAAAGTATGTAATTAACACATTTTTATTTTAATATCATGTTCACTTGTATTTTAAGCAATCATAATTGGCTAGACTGGTGTTTTTTTACTGGGGGCTACCAGGGGTCTGCCGTGGGCTGCTTTTTTGTATAAGGTGCGTAAACTGTACATCTGCAGGGTGTGCATATTGTAGGTGCGTTTTGTTCTGCAACTCTGCCAGGAATGAACCCTTTTACTCCTGAACAAGCCAACATAGTTTGTGATACACCTTAACAATGTGACATTTTTCCTGTGGGGTCATGTACAACACGCACGGTGCTGTGGAATTCTGTAGGTTTATTATTATTTTTGCCAAATTGCAATATGTGATGCTGGCAAACACTTCCAGACACTTCTTTGTAGAGATGAGGTGCTTGGGTGAGCAGAAATCTTTTCTGCTGACCAGATGTTTAGACAGAAAACTGACCTGTGCCGGTTTTAGAGAATAAAGAAAGCTTAAATGCTCAAAATATCTCACACAACAGACACTGTAAGATCAGCCGTTACGCCGTTACACTGACTTGAGAGCAGTTGGTTCAGTTGTGAACCATTTTGCTACTTTATGGTCTGGCATAGTGGTTGAGTTGCATTATGTTGCTGATTTCCTAATGATCTCCATCAGTGTCCATGTACATTTGGGGATTCATGTTTTTTGTGCTTTTGAGTGTTTTTGAAGGAGAATTCCACCTCTTTTCCAAAACTTTGGCATAATTTACTCTTTAAAATGTAAACAAAGTCATTCAGAATGGGTTGTGTGAAGTGTTTAATACCGCCAGTAATAATAATAATAATAATAATAATAATAACAGTACTATTTACTCATAGAGCACTTTTCATGCCAGTGGCCTCTCAGAGTGCTTTACAGACAGGTGATAAAGCTTAACAGTAATAGATGAAACTATGAGTGTTAATTTCAAGTCATAATTTGATTTAATTAAATGCTAAGTTAAAGAGATACGTTTTCAAATGGTTATTAAAAGTGGGAGCTGAGCTTGACTGTCTAATAAAAGAGTCTCTCCATGTTTTCTGTATGTAACGGAAGGAAGCTGCAGATCTAAGATCACATGCTAAAACATAAACTCATCACTCTGTGATGTAAGCGGGTTCTAGGTCAGTTAGAACTTTAAAAAATAGTAGCAGAACTTAACAGTCTATCCTGAAAGATGTAAAAAAGTTACCTTACCTAAAGCTGATACATAAAATGGTTATGAATACACTGCATAATGTCTGAGACGTTGTTGTATCATAGATTTAAGAAGGTTTTGGGCTAAAACATAGATTTATTTTACATATTCATGACAGAAAGATACATGCAGGATGTTCTAAGGCAAAAAAGGCCCTGAAAAGCATAAGCTTATATTTTACCATTATTAACATTACATATAAAAACACGTGTAGGGTCACTGGTCGTGTTGATGCTAAGTTAAATGACTATGTAATGGTGTTGTAGACATTGTGCCCCCTGGTTCCTGTCACCACCACTGTAAAGAAGTCAGTATTATTCTCCACAGCAAACCGTTTCACATCACACCACTCTGAGTGACTTTGATTCAGCCACTGATTTATGCAGAAATTCTTAAAAATCGATGCAATTACTCTTTATTGCTAATGCAGTTAGAACCTCTCCTCTGTTGCAAGCTTTTGTAGGTATGGAAAAGAAGCTGAACTGCTATTTTACTTCCATAGTCCACCTTGGCTGATACTAAAAGATAAAAAACACCCATGAATGTTGGAGCTGACTGGATTATCCTTCGCCGTCTGGTCTCCTTTAGTAAAAGGCAAAGCTGCTCATGAAAAGGCTTTTGCACATTCAGCAGTTCCTGATAGGAACAGTTGATTACATGACTTATATGTTCCATATGGAACACACATCTGCAATCAAGGCAGGACTGTAAATGCGTGTGGGGGTTTGTGCTTGTGCATGTGCATGCACGCTCCAGATCTAAATGTCTGCCTTCTTATTGCTATTTTCAGTCCCTGTAGCGCCGTGCGTGTGCGCATGCGCCGGCCACGCTCAGCAGTAAAAGAATTATTTTCAGATAAAACGTCTGTTCTGAGTGACTCATCCACTGGCGGCTTTGTTAAAAGTAGCTTGGCTATCTCGGATGGAAATTTTTCTTGGCAGTTTTCCCTTAAGTTAACCTCCTCCTTCCTCTTTGCAGTCTCAGCTCTCTGCCTGTGCTGTGTAAAGGCCATTAAAATCCTGTAGTAATGCATGTATTATCCTTGCCTTCACCTCAGAGAGGCTCCATACTTCATTGCAGTGATTGCAGGATAAGAGTGGCAGTGAGTGCCGTTGCGCCGAGATTTGGCAACTAATAATTTTAGCTCTGGTTTAGTGTGTCAGCCTGTAATGGCCTCATCTTTCCCCAGTAGTTTGGCTGGTTGCCTCTTTAATTTAGTTTTAAATGAGCAGCAGAGCTTATGCTGTATGACTGTTACATTTGACATCACTTTTTTAATGCTCTGCAGTAGAAGTGAACCTTGGAGGACCAAAGTGTTCTTATTAGTGTAGGTCAGGGGTGTAAAACTGCTGATGCAGCTGTGTCAGTTTTGGAGTGTTAGAACTGATAATATCTAATAATATTCAGGATAGTGTAAATTATTGAGCGAATGTAAAAAGGTGTGTTATGTTTATTGTCTGTATTTCTTTATTCATAACTGAGTGAGTCTTATCAAAAAAATTTAAATAGAATTGAATCAGGTTGTTGTGAAATTTGACATTGCAATCAAATTGGTGAACCCTCAGGAACTTCTAGGTCTTCAGAGAAATCATCAGAAGGCCCAATGATTTCAGGGAACTAAAAGAAAAACATAGGTTTACTCTGCAAGTATTGTAGTAATTTTAGTGTTTAGATTTGGTTGAGAACAAAAGGGTTGAAAATCTTGAAGGACCAAATGGAAAATCATCCAATTAGGATTTTTTCCCCCCTGTGGCGTCTGGGTGGATACAACCACGAAATCTCTCCCATTGTTTAAAGCATTAGATTCACTACCAGCGACAGTGGAATCAACTAATTACATTTTGATTTCCAGTGGGTGGGACCAATGTTTTTGAGAAAATTGTCACTCTATGCCAGACATGTCAAACTGGGGACCTTCTGGGCCAAAGTGCTGCGGATATTAGTGTTCACCCTCATCTAACACTCTGAATTCAGTTCATGACGGCCTTGCAAATTAGCTGAAGAGCTGAAACAAGTGTGTTTAATTGAGGCAGTGTGCTGAAGTCTGCAGTGTTTTGGCCCGCGAGGCCTGGAGCATGACATGTGCTCTAGGCCTTCTGGTTCTACATTAGTTCTACATTCTACATTCTGGTTCTACATTCGTCACTGAGTGTGAACACAAGCCGTAGTCCAGCCAGGTTTCATTTAGTTGTTAGAAATGGAAATCGAACAGTGGCTTTAAGGCAGGGCTCTTTACTGTCAGGGCTATCCGAAAAACTGCAGCATGTAAGGTAAATATATATTGTCTGTATAGTAACGAGTAACAAACCGTAACCTTGTTAAGTTATTAACAAGGTTTATTATTTTGTGTGTTAATTCTCTTCTTGTTACTCTTTTCTTGAGTGCCTTGCTGTCACTTTGCTGCTGTAGCCCTGTGAATTTCCCCACTGTGGGACTAATAAAGGATTATCTTATCTTATATGCTAAAGTTTTTTGCAAGTTGTATGAGCTTCAAATGTCTGTGTTAAATCTAGAATCACCAAAAAATATTCATGTGCACCGATGTTAAGTTAGAGTTCCCAGTGGATCGCTAGCAGAAATAGCGTTATCATAGACGTGAAATTTAGTTTTTCACCAAGTTCTGATATTTAGGGTCCAAACGGAAGGCCTAGCTCTAATAGTCACGGTTTTCTAGTGCTGGCTAAATAGCCCACAGTAGAAGTGAATGTTTGAGGACCAGAGTTTTCACTTCAGTTTGAACACTCTCTCTCTCTCTCCCTCTGTCTGTCTCTCTCTGTCTCTCTCTCTGTTTTCGGCAGAATGTCTCACTACACGGAGGAGCCTCGCTTCACCATCGAGCAGATCGATCTGCTGCAGCGGCTGCGCAGGAGCGGAATGACCAAGCGGGAGATCCTGCACGCGCTGGACACGCTGGACCGGCTGGAGCGCGAGCACGTGCAAAAATTTGGCCACCGTCACTCCTATGGAGGAGGAGGCGGAGGAGGTGAAGGAGTGGCAGGATCCGGGCCGGGAGGAGCCTCAGCAAAGTCCAGTAACAGTCACGGGAGCTCCAGCACCACTGGAGCCTCCAGTCACGCTCCAGCCTCATCCTCCACCGCCTCTGTCTCCACGCAGACTGTTTTCCCTGGCAACGCTCTGTCCCCGCTGTCTAACAGTTATGACACCTCCCCACCCCCCACAGTCACCATGCCAATGTCCTTGATGGCGCCGCCGGCTCAGAATGGACGGGACAGTTTGGTGCCTGTAAGCAACGGAACGCTCTCCCCACCCCAGTACCCTGTTAGCACCGCCCCAGTGAGGCCTTTTGGATTTGAACCCGTCGAGGAGGAGGTGGACATTGATGACAAGGTGGAGGAGCTGATGAGGTCAGTGGGCATGACTGGACATTCCAGACATGACTGACACAGTTTGCACTCTGTCACATGGGTGTTTTTAAATGTTTCTTTTTGTTAAATCCTTTTTCCTCTTTCTTCTAATGTCTTTCTTCTTCTGTCTCTCCAGGAAGGACAGTAACATCATTAAAGAGGAAATCAAAGCCTTCTTAGGGAGCCGGCGGATTTCACAGGCTGTTGTTGCCCAAGTTACAGGTTAGTACTACAGAGTACAGGAGAGATTCATGACATTCAGTTGTGTATGCTATATAACTATTGTGAAACGATTGTGAAACAATCTAGAATGTATCGACACATTAAGGAGCAGGATAGAGTACTTTTGTTTTTAAGTAAACAAGACATTGACTTTTTCCCCCAGAAGTGACATTGTTGACGACAACCATTCAATCAATCAATCAATGGACCTTTATTTACCCTCGGAATACATTGAAGGAGGCCCTCATTTACAGTGTAGCCAAGTAATACAGGAATCAGGGATTGAGAATTTGTACAGTAAAACAATAAACTGTTAAATCAGTAAGCGATTAAAATTACACTATAGTAACTTATCAAGTAACAGAGCAGATAAGGATAAAATAAATAAAAACATAAATTAATTAAATAAAAGAAATAGATGTAAGATTACTGTCGTTGTCATTGACAATGACAAAATAAATAAAAATATTAATACAAGAAATAAAAATTCTAAAAAGAATGATAAAAAGAAATAAAAGTACAAAAGTAAAAACGAAAAAGTAAAAACAATAGCTAAAACATACCAAAAGTCATATTAAAAGTTAAGTAAAATCAAATAAAGCAGTTGCAGGCTGTGCGGAGGCAGTTAAAGACTAAAACCAGACCTTAAACCAGACCTGTGACTATCAGCATAAAGCCCGGCATAAAGCGAAGAACCGCTTACGTTGACAGGAAAGGGCTTTTTAACTGACAAGCAGTGAAGCCAATCGGAAGTCTTTCTTTTGCATGACCTAAAGGGGCAGTCAGTTTTCAAAACGGTGCTACAAAAAACACTCCTGTGGGAAAATGTTATGCCAGTGATGTCTTGTTAATGCTTCAGAAAACTTCCGAATAACTTTTAGAAGTTTTTTTTCAGCCTAGGGTCTTGCTTAGAAAGGCTAATTAAAATAAGATAAGATAAGAGACAAGACAATCCTTTATTAGTCCCACCACAGGGGAAATTCACAGTGCTATAGCAGGGAGAGCAAGGCACTTAATAAAAGAGCAACAAGAGAATTAACAAACAAGGTATTAATCTTGTTAATTTCTTAACAAGGTTACAGTTTTTTACTTATTACTGTATATACAATATGTATTAAAAGAAAAAATAAACTAAAGATAAAAAAAAACTTTACCCTTCACAGAAATTAACAACATAAACGTTATAAATAAAATAAGCAAAAGACTCTTTACACTATAAGGATATTTACAAGTATTGCACATGGAATTTTGCACAGGAAGTATGATTATATTTGCACATAAGGTGTGGTGATGAATTAACAGTTAATTTCTGTAGGTGTGTGATTATAATAACCCTACATAAATGGCAGCTGCATGCTGCTAGCCAGCATTTAGCTTGATAAACAAAGCTTTGTTTTCTATGAGATGGATAAAAGTCAGTGCGTGGAAGCGCATATAAGAGATCTGCTACCAAACAGAGCCTGACAGGTATCAGGTTTTGGGCCAGTTTTCCCCATAAAACATCAGATTCACACTGACCTTGAGTTTGTTTTCTAATTAATTTTTTTTAGCATTTGTTTTTGTTTTCTGTCAGTCAACACAAGCACTTAGCAACAAAGCAGAGCACTAAAACACCATGTCTGCAATAATCTATCTCTGTTGTTGTGTGACCAGACATCTGAAACTAATGACTAATCAAAATAACTAATCGCTACTCTTGTTAGTTCAGTCAAGTCTTCTACAGTGTGACCGTGTAGCTAATGCCACGACCAGTCCTTTTGACCCTTGTTCGTCCGTGTCTTTAATGTGTTCTGCAGGTATCAGTCAGAGCCGGATCTCGCACTGGCTCCTGCAGCAGGGTTCGGACCTGAGTGAGCAGAAGAAGAGAGCGTTCTACCGTTGGTACCAGCTGGAGAAGACCACGCCTGGTAATGCCCAGCCCCACACTCAACACCAGGCCAGCTAAACCCTGCTGCCCTCCCTGCAGTCCCTCTTCAGCTGTTCAGTCAATCCTTCCATTATTAAAGCACTCATGTCCATCCACTGTATCCTGGTCTCTGTCTAGTTAGTCCTCTGTATTTGGCCAAAGACGACACCAGCTGTATGCAGCAGTGTGTTACAAGGCACACCTGGGTTTATTTGTTGTGGACCGTGTAGCAGACCAGATTAAGAAAGTCCACACTACAGGACTGAGACAGCTTGGACTTGGCTAAAGAGAAAGGCACCTTCATAGGCTCACACTTTGTATGCTGTCCAAGATTCCTCTATTAATGTTTAATTTATGAATGTGAAGAGTGGGAAGAAGTAGTCACTGTGTAACTCTTTCACTAGGATAGGGTCGGCATCCATTTAAAGATCACAAAGGGTTGTGTAAAAGCCAATAATAATGGCCAGGGGTCCAACCAAATATGAGAATATTTGAGAAGCATATTCTGTCAGCAGAAGTTGCAGCCTTCATTAAAATAAACACTGCTCTCAATTCCAATCATAGCCGACTCAAGATTCAATCAGTGCAATGATCACACAAAATATCTCATGGCTGGGACGATGAGTAAGTAAAACAAATATATATATTTGAATAAAATTAGAGAAACATTGATATTTCCATTATTTTAAAATCACAGGTATTTTACAGTAACTTTCAGTATATCGCTGCTGTCGGAAGAGAACCACGTATCTCTGTTTTTGTCGTTTTTCAGTTTTTGACATAATTTGAAAAGGCCTGTGTGTGTAAATTTCATGATGAATGGACCAAAAGAATCGGTCCAAAATTACCTGGAAAATTACTTGGTTCCACTGACTTACATTAAAATTAAAGTATGTTTTTTCCTTCTCCTGTAAAGTTACCATTTTGGAGATACGAAGTTTAGTTCCGACAACAGCGATATACTTGACAGCAAGAGCAAGAGAACGACAGTTCCTTCTCACACCAAGTCAGAGTTTTACATACCAGAAAAAAAACAGAACAAGTTCTAAAAAAGCACACATCAACAGTAAAGGTGCATTTCACATGGGAGGAGGCTGTTAACCAGCGTCTGAGTCACACTCGCTAAAAGACAGATGATAACTTTGTCACTGTTACTGCTAAATGAATCCATTTTTCTTCTTCTTCTTCACACGAGTGTTTAAGTACAGTCTGCGAAGTTTCAGTGTGCTAAGAAGTGCATCTGCTTTTTTCACCTGTAAAAACTGGCTCAGTGTGAAAAGATCTCACAATGACTAAACATTCGCTGATAATTAAGAAGTAAAAGTGCTTGTCAGAGCACAGAACAGTCATGCATTGGAGATGAGATCTGAAAGGTCTGGAGCACCTTTGCTTTCCTCACACCCAGTGTGTTCCATTTTCACCATAACTGGTCAGTAGAGATGAGCAGTCAACATGGATTAAATTACACACAAAAGTTAAATAAAATAAAAAGAGATAAGAGTGAATGACCGCTGAACTTAACCGTTGCTAAAAAGGAGCATTCCACCACCTCATTGCACCACCACCAAGTTTAGGATGCTTATACACACACACACAAAATAAGTGCTGCAGTGTGGGCTGCACAGCAGATGTGTGATGTTTCTGTGTCTCAGGTGCTACTCTGGCGATGCGTCCTGCTCCGGTGGCCCTGGAGGAGATTGTGGAGTGGCATCAGACAGCTCCCCCCATCAGCTGCAGCCCTGGCAGCTTCCGCCTGCGCCGTGGCAGCCGTTTCACCTGGAGGAAAGAGTGCCTCGCTGTGATGGAGAGGTGAGAGAGAGACGGCAGATGGAAATGCAGCTCCAGAATTGAGTGAATTCATATCCGTGTTCTCAGCGTGGAGCTGGCATAAATCTCAGTAGTCCTTGCTTATTTGGTTCAAGTAAATTGGCAGCTAAAATAGAACAAGAATAAGGAGAGATTGTGGGTCACTGAAAAAGAAATCTCTTTTAGCCTATTTTTGGAGTAAAAGACCTAAGAGGTCACAGTGAAAGGTTCTGAATGAGTATCTCCTGGTAGAAACAAAAGCCATTCTTGTTTGCAGTGTTGCAGTGTTTGCAGTTTGCAGTATAATAGTCTCTTAAGTCACTTATAGTCCTGGACAGCCTCAGCAGTGCATGGTTTAGCGTTTATCCTGCTCTAACTCTCTTTAAACTCATTAAAGGAAAGGTTAAGTAGAAATTGAGATGTACACAGTTCACCCCAAATACATTCAGAGATGTTTGGAGTCTGAAGTTTGCTTCTGTTGTTTTGCACTGGAGCTACGAGGCTAATGTAGCTAACAAGGAATGTAATTTAATTTGGAAAATAATTTCAAACATCAGGGGTGCATATTCGGCCTGACGAGTGGGAGGGGCCAACGTCAAGAGAATAGTTTACATACAGCAATTTAGACATAAAACTGAGTAAACAAAGTAAGAATACAATCACACTTACGTTGATATCTAATGCTTTATGTGTCAATATTAAAACAAACGAATATAATTATTAACAGGAATATCATACACGCTTAAAAAGATGGTGCTTCAAGAGTTCATGAACACTCAAAGAACCCTTTGCATGATTAAAGAGTTCTTTGCATCATGAAAATGTTCTTCAAGATTGATGGAAAATGTGCATGAATGTGCAATAGACGGGTCTGTCTAGAACCTTTTTGAAAAGCTTTACACCATAACAATAGAAGAACCCTTTTGGGTGCTTTATAGAACCATCTACAGCATATTCTCCATCAATCTGAAGAAACCTTTCATGCTACAAAGAACCCTTTAATCATGCAAAGGGTTCTTTGAGTGTTAATGGTTCTATATATAGTACCAAATATATAGAATAGTACCAAAAAAGGTTATTTTGCTTGTAACAATAGTGGAACCCTTTTGGTGCTATATAGAACGCTTTTCAAAAAAGTTCAATAAAGAACTGTCCCCAGCACATTCTCCATCAGTCTGAAGAAGCCCTTTATAATTCAAAGAACCCTTTAATCATGCAAAGGGTTCTTTGAGTGTTCATGGTTCTATATAGAACCATTGTCTGGACTATAGAATCCTTGAAGAACCATCTTTTTTAAGTGTGTACATACTTCGTTTTCATGTTTTCTTTCCATTGTGTCACTAAAATGATTAGTCTGATCTGTATGTTGCTCTAAGTACTTCAGTGAAGCTCCCCAACAATGATAAATATGATGATAATTAAGAAGAAAATAGAAGAACTATTATGTAACAAATGATCATAGAATACTCTTAGTAAAAAGGGTTCCATATAGTACCAAAAAAGGGTTCTTTGGCTTGTAAAAGTAGTGGAACTCTTTTCAAAAAGGTTTTGTATAGAACCATCTACAGTACATCCTCCATCAATCTGAAGAACCCCTTCACAATGCAAAGACCCCTTAAAGTGTTCTTTGAGTGTTCAAGGTTCTATATAGAATATTTTTTTTTGACTAAAGAACCCTTGAAAAACCATGTTTTTTAAGAGTGTACAGTACAATGTGTTGGAAACAATTCCAGGACAGGTTACTGTTTCTTTCTTTTTGTCATTACTGACTACAACTGTTCTGGATTTTTAATCTATTATTTGAGTTTTAAACTGTAACTGACAGCTGTACAATAATTGATATCTGGCAGCTCTTTCACTACTCAGTCATGCACTTTTTTGACGACCCCCAAAATTGTCTCGCATAATTTCAAGTGGTTATTTGGTTTCTGTATTACATACAGTATTTATATTTCTATTTTTTAGGAGTCTTTACTGTAGGGACAGGCAATATTACAATACTTTATTGTATCATGATAATTTCACCATAATATGCCATAATACGCTTTTTGAGTACATCCTGGATATTATCACTACTTAAAAACCATTGAAGAACTGCATGCTTCATTACACAGAGAGCATGATTAGTCCTGTTTAATCAAAGCTCATACTGCGTAAACATATTGTGTATTGTGAAAATGTCTAATTTGTAGTATTGACTGAGTGGTGTTTAATAATTAGCTGATAAGTTAAATTGTCCGTGTTAGAGCAGGGAAACCTCTAAAACTCTAACTGCGCTCTCACTGCCGCTCCTACTTTAAGTATGCCTAGTTTGTTGGCACACTAACTCGGTCTGGACCGTGTCATTGTTTTTTTCTTTCTAGCTACTTTAATGATAATCAATACCCTGATGAGGCTAAGAGGGAGGAAATAGCCAATGCCTGCAATGCAGTTATACAGAAACCAGGTAAGTCTGCTCTGTTAAACAAGGTGAAGTCTTTTAGCACTGAACTGTAATGGCTGGAGTTCGTACAGTAGTTTTGAACATGTACTGGAGAATTGTGTGTTGGCCTGTCTGTTTAGGAAAGAAGCTTTCTGATCTAGAACGGGTCACGTCTCTAAAAGTGTACAACTGGTTTGCTAACCGGAGGAAGGAGATAAAGAGAAGAGCCAATATAGGTAATGTTGAAGGCCTTTGGGGACGGGGCTTGATATACAGTGCTGTGCAGAAGTCGACTGCGAAAGTGAGATGTTAAACCATTTATGTATGCAGTTCTCCTTTAAAGTTACCATTTTGGAGGTACAAAGTTTTGTTCTGACGGTGGCGATGTGCTGGTTTTGCTGGTGATCAGCTACACTAGTCTGTGCTGGTTTTTCTAGCCGGGCTGTGACTGGCAAAAAAATACTTCCTGCCAAGATGAAGAGTTTTCATTGCTGTTAAGACTTTTGCACAGTTCTGTATATTATACAGCAGCATTCTATTAAAATGACGCTTTGGTGAATCATATACTTTGTTTTGTTGTGTTGTTTGTGAGTGTGACATGCCAAAAATTTCTTTGATGCTGTTAGAAATAGAGAAAATTGCTCGAAACAGGCCGTTTTCCAGGCAGTGTAACTGTCTTGCATTCCCGTCTTCTGCGAGCTCAGATATGTTATGGCAAGGTGTGTGTTTTTTCGAAGAAGCAGCAATCCTGGAGAGCCATGGGATCGATGTGCAGAGCCCAGGGGGACAGTCCAACAGCGACGAGATTGATGGCAACGACTACAGCGAGCCAGCGGCCGAGCCGGGGTTAGGGCCGGTAAGGACCACACTTATTACACCTTGAATAGTTACTTGCACTATTTTAAAAACATTCAAGTCTGCTGCAATCCAGCCTCCATCGATCCGGTGTCATTAATCTCAAACATTGATCTGAGAAGACTGCCTTGCCTGAACAGAAATGACTGCAGATTCAAACGATCATAGAGCTGTGATTTCATCTTTTTTTAAAAAGAGAGCAGTGGCCAGAGGCTTTGGTTTCAGCAGAGGGGACCTGTCCTCCCCCATTCAGGTATGCAGGACATGCTTAGAGCCGGAAACACAGACAGAAAATCAGTTAACAACACGAAGGCTTCACTCACTTTTACCACTGCATGTGGAGGTATTACACTCAGTTCATTCATACTGATGATAGATAGGATACATGCACTTGGAGTTCCCCTAACTGCATGATAAAAACAAACTGAAAACTGCTATGCATGTGTTATTACACATGTGTAAATGCCCACTTGGTTTGTTTGATAACTTTGCACTTGGACAAGCACCCTTTATTACCGTCTGACTCAAAATATAACAACACATGCATGATTAATTAACTGATTTACCCAACAGAGCCTTTTTCGTGTGTAACCATAATGTACACTGCTGGGCAAAAGTCTTAGGCCAGTTGAGAAAGCTGTTAATGTGGGCAGTTTGCATTTATTTGCTTGGAAAAACACGAACATTGGAATAAATACAAATAGATATTATCAGAATACTATTTTCAAACCTCTCCTTAAAGAAGGCCAGTATTTACAGTTACCAGAACCTAGTTTATCTAGTCTTTCAATAGATTACATCAGGTGTGCTGGTGATGGAACCTAATAGAACCATGCAATGGCTGGTTGGACAAGAGGAACCAAATCAGTGTTCTTCTGACCAGCAAACAAGAACTTTTTTACAGTATCAATGCTTATTTGTATTTATTCTAATATTATCAAGAGCCTTTCCAAGCAAAACACATATACTGCCCAAATAAATGCTTTTTAAACAGTTTTCTTGGCTGCCCAGAGGGTTTTGTCCAGTTTTGTAGCTACTTTTGTTCGCAATAACAGCACACCAGTATGACCTAGGCAAATGATCACAGCTTTTTACTTACTGCCTCTGCACACCAGACAACCAAGCCAGAGAGCAGGCCCCATTGTGAACGAAGTGATCTAAAAGGCCATTCTTGCGGTTGTAGGTGCCCACTCTGCTTCCCGGCTGGTTGGCTGCCTGGCCGGGCCTGGGTCTGGGCCCAGGCAGGGCGGGGCCTCCCAGAGGGGCGGGGCCGGGCCGTCAGGGCAGTGGGGCGGGGCAGCAGGCGGAGAGCTCCAGACTGACCGCTGTCTCCTGGTCTCCCTCCTCCCCCCAGGATGACGGCACGGGCCCCGGCGAGCACCAGGACCCCATCACCCTGGCTGTGGAGATGGCGGCGGTCAACCACACCATCCTGGCGCTGGCCCAGCAGGGAAGGGGCAGCAACGACATCAAGGCAGAGGTGCTCGACGACGACTGAGGACCCCTTCATACACACACGCAAATACATACACACTCACAGTACTGTGCACAAGCCGTGGGCCATCTGAGAGTATTATCATAAAGGCTATTTATCTGGGCAGTGAGTATTTCTTTGTAGGCACCAATATGGGGCCTGTGGGCCGATGCTGATATCCAGTACTTTTCATGTACATATCTGCAATTACATAAACATTTGTAAAACGTAGAAATCGGGAAGGCGTCTACCTGGATTAGCATTACAGAGAAGTGTAACATCTACGTTTATAGGGTTACAAATACAGTAAAATGAATAAAATGCAGACATTTCAGCATTTTAGGAGCTCAGCATCACCATAACATTCTGCTCTTCCAGAGTGCAATAAATACCTCATCAAATGTCGCTTTGAAATATCGGTAAATTCTAAACATCTGTCTGATGCTGATCGCATTTTTTCAGCAATTGTCTGTTGACACCAATATGATTACAATATTATCAAGCATACCTATTTATTGCTCTGAAAAAGGCTGTCAATAAACATACATTCAGTAAATTTGATTTTATTCCTGTCAGCGTCTCAACCATTTCCAGACCTCTCCTCGAATAAGCTCAGTATTTGCAGTAACTATTCAATACCTCAACTAAGCAGTGCTTCATTAAGTTATATTTCATTAGGTTATATCAGGTGTCCCAGTGATGGGATTAAACAAATCCAGGCTTTCAGTAACTCTTCTAGTAATTCTTATTACCTTTTAGTCTATTAATGCTTATTTGTATTTATTCTAATAGTATATATGTTTTTTACATGCAAAACAAATGTAATGTCCAGATAAATAGCTTTAAACAATGTCCTTGGCTGGCCTAAGACTTGTACACCATATGGTACTACATACCTTTCTGTACACTGTATCTGCCAAAGGGGGAGATGGGGTTAGGGTGGGGGCAGCGAATGATATACGCTTTGTGTTTTTGAAGAGAGATAAGAGTGGAAATGCTGTGATACGGCTGTGCGTGGGGCTTTGCTGCTGATAACCAAAGCTGGTGCAGAGGTTTAGAGACAGAAACCCCACATGACCCCCACCTACTTCCCTCCTACAACTGCCACCTCAGTACCATAATATCCATATGGTGCCCCACCAAAAGTCCTCAGTCACAATATATGCTCCATGACTAAAGTCAGATAAACAGAAGCTTAAAGCTTTAACAGAAGAAATGAGTAACTCGACTAAACGTGCTAACGTTGCTAATAGTAAATGGAAGGTAGTAGCTATTAGCATGATGTGATTTACGCTGATCGGTGGTTTCTTTCATTCACTCTTAGCAACGTTCATGTTTTTGACTAAATTTTCTATATAAGAGAACATCCTCACAGCCGGTGAGGAAACATTTGCCTCTCAGTTTTCTATTTCTCTTTAGATTTAGCGAGGGTGATCTGATCCCTCTCCCTGCTCTACCTGTGGCAGTACCAGGCTGTTCCCTCTGGCACTCTATGGCAGTGTTCCCCAAGCCTGCTCCGAGTCTGTGGACTGGTTTGTTTCCTCACTCTGACACACACAGTGAAACTTACAGAGTTAGGTCAAGTGTGTTAGAGCAGGGAATCCATTAAAGGGCCCATATGTGGAAAAACACTGTAAAAGTTTCACTCCTTGAGAACAGTTGCACGATGCTGAAACACCCAAGGAATCCAGAAACATCGACTGATGTTGTTTTCAAAAGCAACAGCAGATGTACTACAGATGTATGCAAAAGTTTGAACGCCCCAGATGAAATAATGTTTCGTTGATTTTTAAAAAATTTTTTGGGGAAAATATTGTAATTCCTGTAACACATCTTTGTACAAAGTAACATTTCAGCATTTTTCTGCAATTTTAGAGCACAATTTCTATTTATTTGTTGAGTTTAAAACATTGAAAAAACATAGTATAACGTTTGCACAGGCCAAGTATAATAGACCAATATTGTGTATATATATATATATATATATATATATATGTTGTCGGAAGAAAACCCTGTTTCTCCAAAATGGTAACTTTACAGGAGAAGGAAAAAACCTACTTTACTTTTAATGTAAGTCAATGGAACCAGACTTCCTAGTAATTTTGGGACATTTCCTTTGGTCCATTTATAATGAAATTTACACACAATGTAAAGAGCAACAGGTATTTTCAAATATTTTCAAAAAAATTGAGATTATATATATATATATATATATATATATATATTCTGTGCCCAGAATGACTTTTAAAAAAAAGTCAGGTTCTATTGACTTACAGTAAAAGTTGTGAACCCACAGTATAGGTTGACTTTATTGAGAAAAAGTCAAATGTAAGAGATATAAACACACAGTGCAGCAGGATTGGGAAACACTGCTCTTAGATGCTGCCACCACCTCCTGGCCTGTGGTTGTCGGTCATGGTAGCCTCCTGTACTTCAGCTACCTGTGGATGCGTATGTATGTCTTCTGTAGTGATCTGAGCCTTGCTCATGTGCTTCAGCATCACCTGGCCAGGGTCAGGTCGGCTCTTCTACAGGCTTCTTAAAAAGCAATCGGACAAATGCTGTTAATTGCGCCATGTGTAACCTCATAGTATTCTATAGTTGGGTGCTGTACTGAACACTAAAGAACGTGAAGCTTTGGAGCTGCGGATGGATGGAGCAGTGCAGGACCGGAGAATGTAGCAGCAGCAGCTTAGGTGAATGTTCAGTGGGTATATGGACTCCACAGTATTGTGGTAATGTAATATTAAGGTACATATCGATTAATGTTGATCTTATTTGATTTGAGAAGATGATTGTAAATGGTTACAATTGTGTCATTCTTAATTAATGGATATCGAGAACTGCAGTGGAATGAACCACTTTAATAAATTCCCAGTTCAGTCTTTTTTAAATTATATCCACTTTAAGTGTCATCATGAGTAGATGTAGAGATTCTCGCAGTGTCACTTTAGGGACGAAAGCCCGAGTGGATCGAAATATGATTTCAATGATCTTACTCCTCATAATCATGTATTTTTTTGTTCTCCTATCTGCTACTTTTCCAATCAGCGAGAGAAGTAGAGAGTTTAGAAGAGACAGCTGCGCTTCACGAATCAAGTGCAGTGCTATTAGAGAACGATACCCACCGCCTGCTATTTTAAACTCTCTTCAGTCTCTTAAAATGCTTATTTCAATGTGAAATACACAGTGACGGTCAAAATAAGCTCTTTAGATTTAAACGTAACGATTGAATCGCATACAGTCTAACATCTGAGATCCAGGCTGCTTCTAAGCTTGTAAATTTCTGGCTTTTGAGTTATTTTTGGAAAGCAATCAAAAGAGAAATGATGACAAAATGAATTTCTCACCTTAAGGCAACAATCCTGCAAAGCAGGAGTGTCAATTATGACGGAGCGAAATGCTTTTGCATGTATTTCGTGTCGTTTTTCATAACCTCCCGTTTCATTTCTCTTCGTTCTCTTGGAATATAAAACACTCTCAGAGCTAAATTGCGCTCTTTTCGCACAAAGGGTCATTAGTATCAGATGGAACCTAATCACATTTCACTGTAGGACTTGCGGTCTCTATGTGAGGATTATGAATCTCCTCCCACTGCTTGAGTAAATGAGACAAGTGGAGGCAGAAAGTGGCATTTGACAATCTCAATCGATCTCAATTTCCAAGCATGTTCCACTTAAAAAAGAAGAGGAAAAAAGACAAACTGATTATACCACTTTTCTGTTTTAGTCTCAAGCAGATCTAAAGTGAGGATTTCATTGTTGTAGTCCATTTGTCCTTAACGAAGGAGCGATGAGAAGAGGCCCGAGTCACTGAAGAGTCTTCAGAAAGTGCCAGCGGTTCATCTTAAATACTTTATTTGATGCGGGTCTGTCGTGGTCCTGTCCTTGTGCTCAGAAGGGCGCGGTGTGATTTTATATCATTTGCCTACTGTCAGCAGAAATCTGACATCAGTGACCTCTCTAAATGTAATCCCTTTATTCATTATAACTCTGTCGTCTTAGTATTGATATCATGCTCCAACCTTCATGACGTCCACGGTTAAATCCTTGCTCGCGGAGAAGAACCCGAACGCCCGTTCGGGGCAGAATCGGCTGCAACCGACTGTTTCTGTTCGAGGGAAATCATGAGGGAGTTTGATTGTCCTGTTAATCTGTCCATGTTCAATATGTGAATATATTAAAAAATATATAAATATTCTATACAATTATATGACAAATACTGTTGTATCAACTCAAAATAGTTAAATCATGTATCTCCTATTTCAGAATTTAGTGCCTTTTTTGGACAGTAGACTGTTCAGTAATTAATATGTAGTATATGTATGCTTTATTACTTTTTTAAGACTTTTTTTTTAAAACTTGTGTTTATTTTAGTACTGTATCTTCTAGAGAATAAAGACTGATCAATGACGAATGAGGTTGATTGTGAATTTTGCACTTTTGTTGTGAAAACTCCATTATTGACTCTATTATTGATATACTTAGTCTTATGCAAAAGTTTGGGCACCCTGGTCAAATGACGTTTTGTTGATTTTTTTAAGTTTTCTGAAGAGACTAAACTTAAATGTGACTTTTTTTCTGCATATTTTTGCATAAAATGTGTTCCAGAAGTTTGTTCTCTGTAGAGGTTGTGAACTCATTTTCATTTAGAAAATCAACAAAACATAATTTGATCAGGGGCCACACTACTGTCTATTGGCTGCACTCACATTACAAGCCTTATTGCTCAATTCCGATTTTTTGCTCCGATGCAATCTTTCTGCTTTGATGGGTCACATCAGTGTGAATTTCTTTATTTGAAACCATCTTCACAGGCACATCCTAATCAATAACGTTGTGTATACGATCCATGTTCATCATGAATAACAACAACAAATGAACAAACTAGCAGCACAAGCCTTCATCACAAAGATCATGTCTGATCATATAAAGCATGATTCATCGTATCATTTAAAAGACAAAATTCTTGTTTTTCCTGTGATCTTTCATCAAAATGAGTTTTCCTTGCCTCTAAAACGTCTTCTGACTTTTGATTACATCCATGCACCAGTAGGCAGGAAAAAAATCATTTTAACCAATGTTTCACCTCCCCCGCCTAGAGTCTTTAGTCTGTCACAGTACTTTAATTTACACCAACTGTAATGCTTTTGCAGCATTTATTAGCAGAAACTTCAGATTAGCTGCTCTTGCCATGCTGCGAACACAGGAAAATGATTACATGAACAAAAAAAAAACACCAATATAAAATCCGATCAGACAGTTCTCATTGAAGTCGTTTGGCCACAAATCCGTTTATTCTCACAAATGTGATAAACACTGAAACTTCATCCACTAAAATGACTAAAACCTAATACTTTCTTTACAGTAATTAAAGTAATACTGGTTGAATATTAAGAAAAATACTGAAGAATTTTGATTTGATTTTATTAACATTTTTCAGCGCAAATGAGCAAATTCTCATTACAGGAACATAGTAAGATTTGAAGATAAATATTTTCTCCTCAGCTTTTCTTGTCATACTATGTCTATTTTTATTAGCCTAAATATTTTAAAGCCAACTGTTAAGACAAATATTTTACAAAACATAGTATTTCGCACTTTTTCCCTCATTACCGCAACATATTGAGGTTTCTTTTTACTTGTGCCACATATTTGTTGTTTTGGTTCACTTCGGTTGAGTTTACAAGAAAAGAATTACGGTTAAGAGATTCAACAGTTAAAAGGAATAAAGTATTTTTTAATCAAAAAATAGAAAAGATCAATATTGATAAGGAGAGACAGCTGTGTGGGCACAGTATGATAATGACAATTTGGGAAAGAAATAAAAATAGTATAGCTAAAAATAGTATTAAATTTGATGCATATTGTGTATCTGCATGATGACTGACACTCAAATACTTACGGATATGATCTGAAACTGTCTCATGAAAATGACCCAGTTGCACAAATATCCAATCTAGGACCACATATGAATGTGGCTCAGATCTGTTTGAAAACATTCACACAGCTCTGAAAATATCAGATCTGTGTCTTTAAGGCAAAACAACTGAAGTTGTGCCACTTCACTCAAACATGGTGACCTAAAGCCTGTGGCCAATTATAATAGTCAAGCACATTAATATTGGTAAATCAATTCACTTTTTATTTTTGCTTTACAGGGAGATTATTGTACAATTGATATAAAAGAAATTATAAATGAATTATTATACATGATTATTCTTTGGATATCAGCATAGAATTACAAATAATTAAATTAATCCCAAACTTGTGCTCAGATTGGAGTCACAGAATGCAACTATATACATACACACACAAACATATACTCTGCAATATACACACACACACACACACACACACACTCACACAATCAACAAGTGAGGAAATGATTCATGACCATAAAAAAAAAAGAAAATCACTAAAACTCCAGGACGAGGCACAGACCAGTGTCGGAGAACAATAGCAGTGTACAGGGAATCACACTTGAGAGAGAGCGAGAGAGCAAGAGCAAGAGAGAGAGAGCGCGAGAGAGAGGGGAAAAGGGCAGAGAGTTTCTGCAAAGAGCGCCGTCGCACATCTGTGTAAACAGAGACAGCAGAGCGCTTTTCTCCCCAAAAAGCCCGCTCTCTCGGCCGCGGTCCCTGTGGGGTGAATTTTAAATCGGAAGAGAGCACTTTTATCCATGCTGGCATGAAGCCAACACAGTCACTGACCCAGCAGGAGTGGAGCTGAAAGGCCACTTTGCGGTCGCTTTAATATTGCTTTGGATCTGTGTCACTTTGAGAAACTGCAGGCTAGATAGGAATATCAATAGCGTGAAAACACACATGATAAATGTACATATGCCATTGCAAACAAGGTAAAACTAGGGCTGGGTCTCGAAATTCAATACTTTAAAAGGTACCGACCAAATTACTTAAATAAAGCGGAATACAGAGTAAATCACAAGTGTCAGGATCCGGTCCTTGTGGGCCAAAACACTGCAGACTTCAGCAAACTGCCTCATTAAACACACCTGATTCAGCTCATCAGCTAATTATCGAGGCCTTCGTGAACTGAATTCAGAGCGTTAGATGAGGGTAAACGCTAATCACTGCAGCAGTTTGGCCCGAAAGGTCCCCGGTTTGACATGCCCAGAGTAAACTCTATGATGTTTAATATGGCATTTCAATAGCTAAGCAGCCAGTCTTCATCATCAGTGAGCCAATAAGCATGCTTCTTTCAAAATCTAGCCAGTTGATTGGCTGTTAAGCATGTTAACATCAGCAGTCTGTTGAACAAATACAAACAGCGGTGTCTTTGAACACTCCCCACTACAGTCTTCCAAGTCTGAGACTGCCGGGTACCACGCTGAGACTGGAACTGTTGGAATAAATTTTTTTTGCTGGCTTTAAAAAAAGATAATTAAAAAGAAAATGAAGAACAAAAAAGTACAAGTGTACAATTTTTCATCTTTACTATAGATATAGAAATGTCTGTCAATGTATCTTTTTTGTATTTAATCAAAGGTAAAAACTACTGTTCAGGAATTTGTAATCAAAGTCAAGGTATCAGTATTTGTATCAGTATCGCATAGTTCTGAACGATACCCAGCCCTAGGAAAAACATCAATGCAAGGTCATGAACTGTGATCACTGGGTAAGATAAATCAACAGTAAATCATTGACAAAAAAAAATAAAAAAAATCAAATTGCACTTGAACATTAAAACATGCTATCCTTGCAAAATACAGTATTTTGCCTCAGTAATACCGATGTTGGTCACTGAAATGACAAACAGGGAAGGGGATCCCTTTACTGAGAACCAATCAGTCAACATTAAGATCACTTCCCCTCTCTCATGATAAGCAGTAAAACTAACTAAAGTCTTATGCAAGTAAGGCCACTGTGGCCGGCACTCACGATGATATGAACTATCCTCATAACTCATTGTATACAAAAAAAAAATATATATATATTTTAGGACTAAGCTGTTAGACGCCTAATACTTACAACACATCCCCAGTGTAAAGTGAGAGCCATGGGTCAGACAGACAACATCGAATAACGAAGAAACCTTACTCTCCCTTGTCTGATGTCTCTGCACACCAGTCTGATCGAAGCAGCATTTCAGTTGTGCTACTTGTGCGTTTTAATTTATTGATGCACGAGGCACAGATATGAATAACGATATGTTTTCAGGACTGAGACAATTTCAAAGGAGTCGAAGTCTCTCTCTGCAGTGAGGAGGAAGAAACAGTGTCTAATGACAATACACGCATGTATTGCATACACACATTTCTTCTAATAGAAGACTCTGGAACTATCAAATGAAAAAAATCAAGAAAATAAATACTACTTTAATGGAACCTTACCCCTTTTTAAGGACAGGATATTTTTGTCAGGTCAAACAGTGAAATGCAATGGCTTTATACTTCAGCACCAAGTCCTACAAAATTCAGAGCTTCTGTGGTTTGATTAACTTGCTATAAAATAAACAACCCACTGGGTGGGCACATATCTAATATAAACCCAATGTGCAAATTAATTTTTAATTCAAAGGATTTCTAAATTTTTAGGAAAATCATTACACCTACCTATAATCATTAAAATAGATTTTAATAATCTGATATTGCATTAGAAATCACATGACTTTAAGGATAAAAATGCAATGGTATAACCCATCCTTCTTGTCCGCTCTGATGTGCAAAGATTATTTAGGAAATTATACAGAATCATGTTTCTTATGCATTAAATTATGTGCATAATTTGCTATGTAGTGGCGCAAAATGCTCGATACATTTCATGGAATGACTTTCGCTGATGCAAATAAAAAAAAATGTAGTTTTAGGTATTGTCAGGAATTGGTCCATACTGTCTTATATAGTGTCCTTGCTAAATTCATTTATCAGAACAGGTTTCTCATGGAAGACTGAACTTCATGAACCACTAAAATTCTCATTTTTCAGTAACTGTTCAAACTGTTCATTAGCTACATTTTCTGTCAGCTTCAGACTTTAGAATACTTTCAACTGCTGGACACTTAGCATCATTACAAATGCCCCTATAAAAGGGCCTTATTCCAGTGCAACTTTAAAACCTTTGCAAGACAGCTCAGTTCAGTTTATCACTTATTTAACCATTTCATGCTGTAAATCCTTTAAAGTTTTCCAGTTACCATTAATAGCCTATGTGTCCGGAACTGATATAAATCAGATACACAGGCCATTGCACTACATCACAGTTAAATCAACATGCATGGAGCTCTGCTGGACAGAGGCATCCAGTGCCCTTTTCCCTGTAAACTACTGATAGACTTTTCTCCCAATGCCACTTCAAAATTCCATCTTTTCTCCGTTCACTGATCCACTAATTATAGCACTTCACAACAACGCAGCATTAAACTTCCATTCACTAATGACTGCCTCCACTTTACCATTACATAAAGACAAAACACGAACAAAACCACCTTCAAAACCGGATCACTTATTATACATGCATACAACCGTGCTATTGGCAGCTTAGGGTGCAAAGCCCTCTGACTCTTACGACAGGCACAACCAGTATCTCTGACCAGTCCCTGAGATGACCTTGCGCTGACAACAGGCATTCTCACTAGTGTTAAGGAGGAATAAGGGGATGTCTATAAAAATAAAAGAAAAGCTGAATTCACAAAAGGCACATTCTGGAAACTTATCGAGGATTTCTGACTGAACAGGGAAGATCAATCATGCATAAATCACTTAAAAAGTCTACAAAAGGACTCTTGAGGACAAGATAAGGGCAGGACAAGAACGATGGTTTGACCTCGAAGAACTGGAAGTCTCATTCGGTCAAAGTTCTGAAGTTAGTTTAAGGTCTGTTAACTTGAGGCGACCCATTACACTCCCATAGTTCATTCAGTGTCGCCGTTCCTCGGTGCTACACATCATGAGAACACTTAAGCTGGTGTAAAGCCATTGAGGTGTGGGTGGAGGAATGCTGTACCAGCTCACATGAGCACCAGAACTGCAGCCTCAGCAGACTGAGGAAGAGCACAGAGCACATAAGTCTTCCTCAGACAGGCACACATAAGCTGAGGTTTCACTTGATCTGGAACAACAGCGTTTAGCTGCTCCAGGATTTTCGGTTCTGTCCTTTCTGGATCGTTGTGCCAGAACCTCCTCTTATCTGGGGTAACAAGGCAGACTGACTGAACTCTCCACTGCGCCGGTTCTCCCCGTGACGTTTGGACCCCTCCCGTCGACTGACTCGGTCCGGTCGCACCAGCACTCCATAACCAGGGTTACAGCGAAAGTACTGACGGCCTTCTACCGAGCCATCATTCTTTCCTGGTGGGAAATAAAACAATAAAAACAAAAAAAAAATAGTTTGACCAGAAAGATTACATCAGAGTGTTAAAGCAAAATATGAGTGATTCTTTAATTTTGTAATGGAGCTGTAGCTAACAAGTAAAAAGAGGCTTCAAGATGACAGCTAATACTGACCTTTTAAAGAGATGTATGATCAGATTCGGTTAATGCCAACCATACACTAGAACATTTTGAAAAGACTTTGGAAAGACTTTTTAAAGACTAAAGTCTGATACCCTCTCACATATAAAGACAATGTCAGAAATTTTAGTCACAGACTAGGATTTTGCCAAGACCTTTCTAGGATCTTGCAGGGTCACTATGTGAGAGACTGCAACTAGATTTTTGAGATAATTTCCCATCATGCACCTGGTGGCAATTTGCAAGAGAAACCCTTTTTCCTACTCCTGTCTACAGTGGTACAAATGGGAAGATGAGTTGGCTGGGTGTGAAAAGATCTGGGGCTCAGCCCAGGTCACTGTAGTAGTGTGTATTCTGGCAGATAATCACCCAGAATTTTTTAATTACCCTGTAAAATGTGCAGCTACTTTTTTAATTTTTTTAATTTAATATAAGGATTTACACATCAACAAAACATGCAGCGTTGTTGACTGGATGTTATGAACTAAACCATAAAAAACAACCCAACAAAATATAAAACCACAAAAAATACATAAATAAAAAGGAAAAAAAAACATTGATGCTTCTTCAATATTGCCATTCTTAAAGTCCTCTGCACATTTCCTTACATTATTGTTAACACTGTAAACTTGAAATATTAAAACAGCCAGTTTACATTTTTAGGTTTGATTTATTATTTTAAAGTGGAGCAGATTTTTCATGTATATAATGCTCTTGTACTAATAAAAATAATAATAATAAAGTAGACACAAGGTTTTAAGACACAAAGATTTCAGTCAGTCATGCATGCATTTTCTCTCCTGCACATCACAGTTGATTATATTGCAGCGTCAAGACAAGAAAAAGACTGACTCAAGGCGGCTATAGTGACAGACTCACATTAAATGATCAAGATGACGCGAGCGTGACACAACTGTAGCATGGCATTGATTTTGGCCAAATTGGCAAATAATGTTTACACTGCGACTTTTGCTAAAAGAAGGTAATGGAAATGTGCTAGTGCATTTCATTAGGATATTCAACTCAGAGTGTGAGTATTTTGTCAAAGTATTTTGCTGTAAAGAAATCAAAATCGACCACAAAATCGGTGCATCCCCAAATTAAATCCCAAGAGGAAGATGACTGCAACTGACCTGCAGGAGTGTCAAGTTCCACACCGACCCAGATGCCACCTGAGAAGTCCGTGTGCCCGACGTAGCGCACAATGCCGCACTTACTGCCGGCTACCATGACACTCTCCCCTACTTTCAACCAGTGAGGAAGGTTAGCATCTCTGCCTGCCTCTTCATCAGATGTGATCTCCAGCTTCTCAAGACTGTCCGCCTGCTGAGGATTCAAAACATTTCCTCCTCGTTCTTCCTCAACCAGAATACGACTGAATGACTTGAGGTCTGAGGGTTTGACCCTCTGGAGGGAGAAAGGGTGATCTGTAGCAGCTTTGGGTACTAAAGGAGGGATGACTGTCAGTTTTGCTTCAGTGTGAGAGGAGGGAACCCCATTTCTTGAAACAGCCTGAGGGTCTTTGGGGTATAGGGTCTGCTGAGGCTCTTCTTTTCTAAGCAGATCAGCAGAGCCCCACTTTAGCCCAGCTTCTGCAGGAGTAATGGAGGCATTAAACGGGGTGCCTAAACCGTCCTCGCCCTCATCCGCTGCCCGTCTGGCTGTCTCTAATCCCAGCTGAGTATTGGGGGTGGGGGTAAGTTCCCCGCAAGCGGTGGAGACATCAGAAAGGGTTGCGGTGGAGACACTGCTGGAGAAATAGCCACTGGAAGCTTCACTGATGGGGCTGAGGGGCAGGTCATGCGAATCATGCATGGAAGAGGGCAGGGCATCAGGACTGTCTGAGAGTTTCTCTGAGCCAGGATTTCTCCCTATTACTGGCACCTGAGGGAAGGCATGGCCACAGCTAACTCAATCTACAATTCGATGACCAAAAGCATGCTAGAAAACTAAAAGACTCAAGACAAGCACAGTATAAGACATGCAGGAGAAGCAGACCATGCTTTTGACAACTAACTCAGTTAAAGGGCCCATATGCTACATTTTTATCATTTTCCCCCTTAAATATCACACTTTGGTTTTATGTTGTAAAAACATATTTCATTATTGCATGATAATTTCTAACCTGTATTAATCCCTTAGAATTAACCAACCAGTTTTTGTTACTATGTCTTTAAGACTGATATATGTAAATGACATTTGTTCTGATTGGCAGCCCTGTATTGTGCCACATTCAAAAAGCAGTGTGGGCTGAAACACTCCATAGAGGTTTAACCTGAATAGGCAGGATAAACTGCTGTAGACTTAATATGCATATATATGTGTGGCATGTGCCCACCCCCGTGCCCCGACGATGACAGGCGTGAGAGCCGGCAGGAAGGCAGGGCCCGAACACCTAGCGCCGACGAACCTCGGCCGGGACGGCAGGGAGAGAGCAGCGAGTGAGGAGGGGGCAGAGTGCAAAGCCCGAGCTCCTCCGAGTGACCCGAGTGACGCAAGTGATGGCAGGAGGAGAAGGACAACGACAACAACGGTGCCGGCAACAAGAGGCACATGGACAAAGAGCGAGTCCCGAGCTCCGCCGCCCGAGCCCCGCCCCTGTTCCGCAGCGAGGCCGCTTCATTACACCTCACGTTCGACCCGGGCGGCCCGAGCTGCAAGCTGGGGACGGTGACGGGGAGGCAGAGCAGCGAGCTCTCGTTCCCTCTCGGCTCGGGTGCTGATCTGGCTGGCAGCCTGAGTGCATTTTAAAGAGCTGAGGGGGAACAAGAGAGAGGGACAAGCAGCAGCCGGGAACTGAAGAGCTGAAAAGACTGAAAAGTCTAGCTAGCTTAAGCCACTGAAAAGTTTTGTTTTGTGTTGTATTTATTTGATGTGTGATTAAAGAATACGGCTGCTACAACACTGAACCCTGCCTCCAGCGTCCTCCATGAGCCTGGGGTAGCACATGCCGTGCTACAATATGTAAATGCACTAGTTTTTGTGACATCACAAATAAATAATTAACATAAAACAAGTTTTTTTGCAGCTTAAGTGCCATATACGGACAGGGGTACATTTTGAGACTTTAATCATATTCAATTGTTAAATACTACATTACTAAATTGTGAGACGCTACATCAAACACTTATTATTATTTCTATTATTATATTACATTATTATTTCCAAACCAAATAATAATATGGGCCCTTTATTCCCTGAAAACATGACCTATTTATTTATCTCTGGGATATTTCATTTACATATAGGCAAGGTATGCAGGGTTGAGATTCTCTTACCGGCTCTACTCGAACTCTGTTTTCATCAGGATTGTTGCTGGTTTGCATCATAATACGGGGCACATGCTGGAAAGAGGGAAAATCTTTGCTTACATTTTTATAATGTTTTATAATTGTGGAGTAATTGGATTTGTAAGGTTTTGCAAATAAACTGTAGGATAAGCTTGATCTAAAATCGAAAGTAAGAGTGTGAAGTGGGTGTGCGTGCATGAGCGTGTAAATACTGCCACAGATTTATCTATCTATCTATCTATCTATAGTCAGCCTACAGTGCCGCAGCAAATAAGATCAAAGATTATGACAGGAAAATTAATCTTCAGGAAATTATGCAGTAGAACTTTAGTGCTCATGCATACTAAGCAGGTTCCTTTAACATGACAGATAAAAGAGACAATTCATCATAAAAACATCATCTTAAAAGATGACTGCAGCCTGCAAGTCTTACAATTACTACTTAATTTGCCATAGTCTATGAAGAATAACAGCATGCTTGAAAAACACTGGCAATACAGCATCAGCAAATGCTCTCTATATGGAAATTAAGTAATAGGAAAACAGAAAAGCATTACCCAAGTACTAAAATGGTCAAGTGAAATTAAATTGGTCATACAGGAAACACCAATAAATAGCACACAGTTTAAATCCAGCCAGCATAGGAAGAGATAATTTTGCTAGATTTTATTAGAGATGCTTGAGATTATGGAATGCAATATATGGATTATGGATTTTATCCAACAGCTGCTATTGAGTTATTCCTGAAAATGTATGCTCTTCTTACAACTGCTGTTTCTCTTTATAAGATAAATAATTTATGCCTTCAGTTCTGCATGAGTGAAAAGCTTAAGCAGAGGTTGCAAGTTATTAAAGAATGTAATGAGACAATTACGATTTATTGCACAGTCAGTTATTACATGTAGACTCGATTAATATTCTGTATCGCCAGGTTCGAGTCTGTACTTCTAACTTTTTTTTTTCCAATGTCCACAAATGACAAACATGGCAAACAATGAATTTTCATCATATTTAAGTCATAATAGAATCATCTACTTATGACCACAAATGTGATATAGATAAAAAGCTTGCAATCTGCACATTAAAAATAATTCCTCTGCTTGTTTCAATAAGCTATGAGTAAATTAGGGCTGGGATGAAAAGCAATTCTGAAAGATTGATGGAAATAAAATTATCCATAAATATCCAATAAATCTGAAAGCTGTCAAAGTTTTGCAAAGGAAAAAAGTTTTTAAAACGTAAAACACTCCAATGTCCAATGCCATCTTTCACATCAGACCTCATGTTTGTTGAACTTTGCCTCAAAATGAGCTCTTACCCAGCATCTGCATCCTTGAGTCACACTAAAGGAAAAATTATGACTTTGTCCCCATTACTAAATGAATCTATTTCTTCTTCCCGTGTTCTCAGTGTTAAATAAATAATCATTGATGTGAAGATTTCAGTGTGTTAAATCTGTAATGATTGACTTGATGTGACAAGACCTCACAACGATGAAAACTAGAATTTAGCATGAAAAAATATTGCTTTTGATGCAATTTTCCCAGATAAATTCTGTTAAAATAATTAAATGGCAGTTAACAATATATAGCGCTCAAATCAGTAAGTGGTCCCAGCCCTGATGTAAACTAATAATCAACATCAAATTTCACACACTTTTGTTACTGCTAATGAAAACGGCAGTTGCTAGTGCCACTCCCTACAGAAAAATGTGTTCAGTAAAAGGAAGAGCCAGACGCACCTGCTGAGAGTGAGGAGAGGGACGGAGGTCCTTCTTGTCATCGCGAGCAGGGAACAGGGACTTAAGCAGCTTGGGCATCTGGGGGACCAGGGCCTTGACTGGGGAGAGATAAGAAGCAGCAAGCCCTGAAAGACCTGTGGGGAGGTCGGGTAGGAGCCAGAGGAGGACAAATGGAGCCAGAGACAGGCCAACAGAGAAGTGGAGAAAAGAAAATATGAAGAGAGCAGACAGGGACAGAGAAACAAGGACGGACGTGGCGGAGGTGGACAGGAAGGGTGCAAGAAATTGAAGGCAAGCACACATAAATGCCACATTGACAACAACATAAATAGTTTGACAAGACAAATAGAAGCAATGGAAAAAACAGTGACATGTCTAGAAAAGGAAGTCTGATTATTCTATTCGGTTTAAGTGATTTGAACTGTATTTCTGAGGTTCTATAAATACCTCTGTACATGCAAGTAATTAAAAGTGAATTACTCAATTACAAATACTCAAAAAATTGCAATTACACAATTTTATGATTTTGGGATCACTATTATAGGACTGGATTAATAGGATTAATTTTATGTAACATGCATAGGAGTCACTAGCACAGTTTAGTAGACTGATAAAGAGTTGACGGACAGACTGGCCCAGGCAGATGAAGATTCTGCAGTGAAGACAATCAGACATCACTCAGTTTCAAAGCACTCAAAACAGAAGCATGGCTGGTTTACCTTGCTCTGGATCCTGGGGTTGTGGTTGGGATTGGGTTTGGGTTTGGGTTTGGGTCGGTGGTGGAGGCGTCGGCTCCCTGGTGGGCCGAGGTAGCGTGCGGCTGAACTGAGGAGACGTCATGAAGATGTCCTGCTGGCTTTCCCATCGATTCTTAAAAAAATAGGAGAGACAGTTAAAGTGAGGTTAATCTGGGGTCAGGCAGGGTCCCTTTTAAAGCACCACATTAGAATTCAAAACACTTGTCATTTACTGCTGATGAGGCACACAGAACAGACTGGACCCCTACCTTGTTGTCCTCCAGGCTTGAGTTTAGAGACAAATCCTGTCTGCTCCCAGATAACTAAGGAGAGAGTAACATAAGGGTGATCTTACAAAACCAAGTAATGTCAAACACTACATCATCAAACTTGAGTGACACATGGGGGGAAAAACATTTTAAGATAGTTTTCAAAATAGTTTCACTATGGGCATGCTTGCATGTTGTAAAAATGTAAAAAAAATGTTTTTATTTCCAGAGCAAATCCATTTAAGAATTTTAAAAGGTCTTTGGCAGAACAGAGAAAGCTACCCACACATTGGAGCTATTATTTTCATCAGACTGCTCCAAATAAACAAGTCATCTTTGTCAGGTGTGCTTTTTAAATACATCTAGTAAAAACATAAATAACATAAAATGACTCAACCTTTTTACTTACTAATTTACTATACTTACAAATGTGCAAAATATAAAAATTTGAACATTAATGTATTTTTTCCATGCACAATGGTAATGAGAACCCCACTATGGAGGAAGATTTTATGTTTCAGTAATGTGAATGCATCTGATTTCACTCACTAATAAAGTTGATGTTTGTTTAAAATAAAATATATATTGTTTAAGGAACTTCTCACAAATTTTCAATTTCACTTGGTTTCAACTAAACATTTTTAATGATTTTACTCCACATTTAGCGCAAAGCTGTTGCTATGCTGGAGACAGTAACAGATTCTCCCAACTTTTTTCAGGCCTTGCATGGTGTAAGACATGCAGGAGAAACAGTTAGACTACATCAATATATTCAGGGGAAAAAAATGACGCATTTATTTTAGGGACATTTTATCTTTCCCATCTACAACATCAGAAAAAAAAATCATATGAACCAATCATTTCAAAACTGTTGATTTGATCACCTTTTAGGCCTTCCTACAATACTCAAATTATAGAATGAGTTCTGACTCTAGCAAAAGTCAGAGAGAGGCCAGGTGACTTGCACACAACTTTGCTGTCATGTGAACATGTTAATCTGAAAGGATTGTTCTCACTCTAATCCCTGGAGTTGGGAACTCTCTGGAGGCATGTTCAGCAGCAGCTGTGAGGGCTTACCCTGTGCACACTGGGGGAGCTGAGACTCCGTCTGCTTCCTTTCCCTTTGCCTGCCAAGTGTTCTTTTACAGCCACTTCCTGAACACGAACGCAGGAAAAAAGAACACAGACACATTGCAGGACATGGAGAATTACCATCACAAATCTGTAATAAGTCATTTAAAAGTAATTAATTATTCAGCTACACAACTCTGAATGAATTACAATGAGAGTTAGTTCCTACCTGCCGTAGGCGGTCCAGGGTGAGGATGTTCTCCACTGCAAGAACACTGCGCAGATATTTTTCAATGGCTGCCTCGTTGTCTGAGGACTTCGGGTTCTCTGCGCTCGTAGCCATCCGGGCCAGCATCTCCCTGTCCTCTGAGCTCTGAGCATCCTGATGGGCAAATTCATTTGTGTTTGATTACACACATTCATAAACTCCATATTCTCCTTTGAAGTCAACCTTTTTATCATGTTAGTTTTATGTCTCTAGTCAAACATTATTCATCATACATCATTCAAAAGACAAAATGCTTGTTTTTCTCGACAAAAATGGGACATTTGCCTGCCTCGAAAATGTCATTCGATTTTTGATCATGTCACTCTGACCACCCTCCCACCCCATCACTGATAGAAAATGGGCAGCGAGCTCAGAGACGCTGCCTAGCTGTTTTTCACTCAGAAATGTCACTGCATGAAAAAAAAACTACATTATGATTTCAGATTTATGTTGACTTTAAGGAGTACATTAAATCTCTTCCGTAATACTGTTTAATGAATTAATAGTGAAAAGTAATACTTTTTTTGAAATATAATATCCATTTAATGTAATTTAGGACCCAAATTCTCCTCCTTTTCCTTCTTAAATGTGCTCAAAGTTGTTATTGTTTTGTTGAAGCTTTTTACTATTTCACAAATGTCAAAAACTAAAAATCATGATACAATTCAGTACCATGTTAAAGTCGAAGTAGTTCTGCCATATCGCCCACCTTTGATATCCTACATTATGTACCTACGAAGGCTTAACAGAACAAAAAATCTCTAGATATTTTGTTTTTCCTTGCTCCTGATCAGACTCCTAAAAGCCTTAAAATACAGTTCAGCTGAATCTGGTGTTTTCAAGTAGGAAAAAAGAATAGACTAAGGGTTGCCTCAGTGCTATGATTTGGAACCGTAATATTTAGAAACACTAGCCTACAACTTACACTGTAAGTGGAGGTGTTTTCATTGTTTGTTTTGGCATTAAACTCCACATGCTTACCCCTGGGATATTGGACACAACCTCAAAGGTCACCCCACAGCCAGGGATGGTGCTCCGTGTGGACATTCTCCTCAGGAAGTTTTGAGCAAAACCCTGCAGCCCCAGAGACAAAAAAAAAAGATAGTAGATTACAATAACATGTCTGAAAAGACACAGCAGAGGAAAAAAATGATATATTTTGCCCTTCATAAAACAAGACAAATTATTCAAGAATTCAATTTATATTCACTGTTGCATGTTTGCACAAAGCAAAAAGAAGGTAGGCAGGAAGGCGCTGCTCACCTGTCGCCCAGTAAGATTCACACAGATGCGCTTGCGTAAAACCAGCTGCATCTCTGCTGGATGGCTGAGTTGCACCACAGTCCGTATAGTCAGGTAAACCCTCTGGTCTGGAGCTCCTCCTCGACTTAGCTGAGGACACCCGTGAACCGTAGAGTCCCAGGACGCTTCTGCTTTTACCTGAGAACAAATCAGAAACAGTTGGTGTTAACATTTTGCTTGCTAATAGGGGTGGGGAAAAAAACTTCAATCTTAGACGCAATTCTCACTCAAAAAAATCTGAATAATTTCACAATCAGATTTTCTGTAAAACAAGCACCCAGACACATTACAGGGTAGGATCCTTTGGTGCAATTTGTTTTTTGAGGAGGAAAGACAATGAGAGATCTCATGCACTCACAATTGAAAGAGATAATTCAATAATATTCAAAGCTATGCTTTAAATAGAAATATTTAGCTGTGAAGGTGCAACATGCAAAGTAAAAATATGCTGCGGGTTTCTTAGTGTGGCATAACATCCGAGCAAGATTCTCAGCATTTCCTGTTTAGCTTAAGTGCCACAATGGTTCAGATAAGTTACATCTTTAAATTTCTAAAAAAATATTATACTTCATGGTGTCTCCACAGGCACACACACACCCACCCACACCTTCTAAGCTGCTTAACCTTCTGGGTCGAGGGGGGAACTGGAGCCTATCCAAGCAGCCACTGTGCGGAAGGCATGATACACCCTGGACAGGCCGCCAGTCCATCGCAGGACAGACAGACAGACAGACATATACATGCGCACACACACACACACACACACCCACCCACCCAGGGGCAATTTAGCATATCCAATTGGCCTGACTGCAAGTCTTTGGACTGTGGGAGGAAACCAGAGCACCCAGTGGAAACCCACGCAGACACGGGGAGAACATGCGAACTCCACATAGAAAGGACCCTGGTCGCCCGGCTGGGAATCGAACCCAGGCCCTTCTTGCTGTGAGGCGATAGCGCTACCCACTCTGCTATCGTGCCGCCCTCTCCACAGGCAGATCTAGCTAAATTCCAGAGCAGCTCCACTATAACAATGGAAAGCCAGTCTCATGGACTGGACACGGCTTGGGAACTCACTCACTCACTCACAAGAGTAAGTGTTGCAGTCTGACATTTTTCCAGTACGGGGTGCTATTAGTCATTTAAATGGAAGAAAGCCACAAATGCATGTTTGTACTGACAACTTCCAAAACAAGAAATGATTTTCAAAAGATGTAAAATTGCTCACTTACTTCCCCATCGTAATGTTTGACGATCTGCAAGTCAAAGAACTCGTCCTCATCCTCACCACTGAGTGAGGCATCCCAGCCACCAGCCTCTGGTGTCTCAAGGTTTTCTTGAGAGCTAAAATCATCCGCTGGTAGGGAGAGAGAGAGGGAGGGAGAGAGAGAGAGAGAGAGAGAGAGAGAGAGAGAGAGGAGAGGAGAGGAGAGGGAGAGAGAGAGAGAGAGAGAGAGAGAGAGAGAGAGAGAGAGAGCACGTGAGAGAGAGAGACGAGTGAGAGAGAGATTTTTATGGGCATTTCACATTAAAAAAGTAGCCAGCACTGGCGTTTTGGCAATTTTGATCCACAAGAGTTAACATACCACTCAGGTCAAGGAAGAGGACTGGAATGTGAGTTTCCATCCCAGGCACCGGTACCCTGCCAAGACCAGGCAAAATATCAAAACATGCTCAATTGAAATAAAGCATTAAGGCATGAAAATGTGTTTTTTCAGTGTCTAAATATAGCCAGTTTAGTACGAAAACATCTTTCACACAATGAATACAAAGAATAGTTGCCCTGGCCACAGCATGTTTTATTTCTTGTACTATTAAATGTGGGCAGAATTTAACTGAAGTCATCAACTGAAAAATAAATAACAGAATATATTATGTATTCGAATAATGATAGGAGAATACATCATGTATTAAGAACCAGCATGCACTGTCAGTCACTATTGTCTCACCACTCTGCAGGAGCTCCTGGGATGCCACTACCAGCAGAGGGCACCATCACTGCATTCCTCTCCTCAGTCAGAGTCAAGCGGCACTCCAGCAGCTGGGCCTCTCGCTCCACATCATCTTCTGACTTATCTGACCATAAACAGGCGAGATAAGATCTTTTACAGTCACATAATAACATGTTAACATGTAGCCTAATGTAACTAACCTCCTCAGTCAGAACTTTTGGTTCACCAATTCCCAAAAAATGGCCACCCACTCCATACTGATATTGAGAACCTTACAAACAGCAGCAAGTCTATGCCACATGATGTTTTATACCCAGGTGATAACAGGACACTGTAGGCTAGCAAGCTACCTCACTGTGCACCTTCTCTCTAACTTTACCATTTCATTTAGCTTTAATATTTTGATTGACTTTGCACGCAGTGGAGGCACGCTTACATGGGCAGAGCAGAATGTCTGCCAGCTGAACTGAATGAATGCATGAAAGCAACAGTGATCATTTTATACCTGTTTTGCTGACCAAGGTTTGGAGATGCTCATCCAGGTATTCCTGTCTCTTAGTGAGAGCTGCAAGCCACTGCCGTCTCAGCCTCTCCAGGTCTCGCTCCTGTGATGGAAATACAACTAACTAAATATTACACCACCAGGGGAACACTGTCTATAAAATTGCTGACATTCAACCTGTCAGCATTTTTATAGACATCTATAAAATTCAACAGGTCAATATTGCAAATCAAACATACCTGATAGCTCTTATTGCAAATCAAACATACCTGATAGCTGTCCATTTCATCACCTTCCGACTACAAAATAAAAAAGCATTTCATTTCACAACAGTAAATGACCAGCAGGCATTTCCTTAAACTGTAAAATACATAAATAAATAAAAAAAGAATAAAAAAAATATATATCCAAGGTTTTGTTTATCACCTCCTGTGAGTCACTGGCTTTAGCTGGGCGAGCTTGTCTGATCTCCACACACCCAATGGACACTCCCAGGATGATCTCAGCTATCAGAGGCATGGTGCCAGAGTCCTGCACCGAACGCACATCCACCTGTATCCGCCGAGACTGACCCTGCAAAGCACATGTACACATGTACCTTTCAAGACACCCCAGAATCCAGTACTTTTCCCATATTCCTAATCTCTATCATATCTCTAATCATACCCCATATAAATCATAATAACACACAAAATGCCTCAAGACAGGGTTTGATATCATGCACAGTGAAAGTCACCTGTCTGAGCTGGAAGATGCCTCCTGTACGAATGTCTCGTGCTGGCACAACCTCCACAGGCATATACTCTCCATTCTCATTCAACTCCAGGATCTGCACCCACATCTCCAGCTTCCTCGTCACCTCACTCCACCTGGAGAAAGAATGAAAGAAGCACATGTACAGTTACACAAACAACATCATGCTCCACTCTGATGTACTGGGTACAGACACAGACAAACTGGCTCTAGGGGATTAGTAGTAATTGTACTGTTTTATACTGCTTTGTAATGCGTTCACTATGGCGCAACAAAAGAAATCACAGATACTGCAACATCGAACCAGCAGAATTAAGAACTTACAACAAGAAACAGGATCATTAGACAGTAAACCCTCTTAAGACAGGGGTAGGCCAACTGCAGAAGACATGTTAATAGAGGAACTAAAATCTGCTCAAAAACTCTGCCTAGAGGAGGTTATTTATTTTTTTCATTTCACCTGCCACTCACCTGTCACGCAGTGTACGGGTCTTGGCTTGAATGATACTGAGGTCCCACAGGGCAGGGTTCCCGCCTGGATCAGACTGCCTGTGACCATACACTTCAATGGCCACTGCACCCTCTGTTAGATACTCAATGAAATCCTCTGTCACAGCCACTGCCAGCTCCTACCACACAAAAAACAGAAATCTGTCTTATTTTCTTTGTTTTGGTATGATCTCTAGATGACTGTAGATGGCAAAATAGAAAAAAAAAAACGTGCACAATTACTGCTTAAAAGGACTCGTATCCTACATTTGTCTTGTATTTTATTTTTCCCCTCCAAGGTTCACTTATAACATTTGTGTTATTTTATGTCCAAAAAACGGCCAAAATTCATTTTTACATGACCATTTTCCAATCTCTCCTTATCTCTTAGAATTAAACAGTGTTTGTTGCTGTGTCTTTAAGACTGATATATAATATATGAGTGTCTGGTACTGCGCCTCTTTCAAAAAGAAGCTTGGGCTGAAAGACTACTTATAACTTCAACATAAATGGAAGGTTGTTGTAGGCTGAGTAGGTGAATATATACATAAAAATGTGTTGGTTTTAAATGACACCAGAAACTGTGAGATCAAAATGGGCTGTTTTTGGAGCTTAGTTTCCATACATGGATTATTTGGACTAGGAAGTGAAAGGTACGTTTTGAAACAACAATGTTTAAATACAGCATCAAATTCTTTTATTTCATGAAGACTGGTTCTTACTTTACAGCTGTCAAAAACCACCATGCAGTGGGGGTCTTTGCTGTTTGGTGATGAGGCAGAGGGATCCACCTCCGGAGCCACAATAATGGGTTCAGCTTGGTCCCAGAAAGAGTACTGGCAGAAAACAAAGTTGGACAGGTACTGGGGAAGGCCTGTAGCCTGCAGGATCTTAATCTGTTAGGGGGAGATGGATGTGGAGGGAAAAAAAACTTGTGAAGCATCAACCGAGGTATAACGTAAACTAAAACGGAATAAATGCTGATTTGCCAGCTGACTAGATACACTTATCGTGCACCTACACGCATACTATTTTAGTTCACTTTGTAGGTGTACATTTAATGACCGTAGCCCATCTATTGCTGCACAACTGCCAGCCACCCTCTACCCCATCCACCAATTCAAAAGGACCACCACAAGTCTACCACTGACCAGACATTGTTAGGGTGGTAGACCATTCTCCGCACAGAAATTTTTTCAAACACCTCAACATTACTGCTTTATCCAACAACAGAGGTCCTGTGGTCAGAAACTGATGAAGGTATAGAGGGAAGACTAACACATGTGCATGGAAAAAGATGAGCTGTAAACTAACTGTACACCTGCAAGATCTGTCCCATAATGTGGCCAGTAAGCACTGATTTCTGGATTATCTAGATAATTTATCTAGATTATCTCCAGAGAACATTACTGTACTTACCATACAGACCAGTTTACGCTCTTGATTCTCTCCCTCAGGACTGCTATCACTCTCATCACCTCCAGCCATGCTATCCTCAACCCCTCCAGCAACACGCACCACTTCCACATGCAGTCGTCCTGCCACCTGAACCAAACACAAGCCAGTGTAACACCTCAAGGATCTATCAGATCAAGTCCTAGATTGCACACCTTCACACAAAACAATATGAACTCTGCAGTCTTGCTTTGGAGGTGAAACCTGCACAAAGGTAGCTTTCCAGGAAAAAAAAGTGGTGACCACTTTCACACAATAACAGATTCATCGGTTTCAACGTACCTCTCCCTTCTGATTGATAATAGGCACAGCATACTGCAGTTTGACATCATAGAACAGGCAGGACAAGAAGACATTAGCCACTCCGATCAGGCTATGATTGACTTGCTCATCAAAGAAGGGGTCTGCTCTCTTGAAGTATGAACGCATCACCTGAAAGGAAGGGGGTATGTTTGGATCATTTGTCAGCTGGTGTCAGGGTAATATTCCACTAGTTGTCAGAAAAGCTCCAGCACTTACAGGGTTGTCCTCATCATAGTCCTTCCACTCCTGATAGAGCTCTCTCATATCCACCAATCTGTTCTCCATCTTCTCCAAAGCCCAGATCTGTTTGCCTTTGCCTTTTCGCCTCACCTGAATGGCAGGTTCACTCAGCACAGCATCCCGCTACACGCATGCAAAAACAAACAATGTTTTCCTGCATTATGTTGTATATAATCCTATTGCAATAATGTCTGAGAGTCTAAGCTGCTATACACTCGGCATGGATGAGGAGGATGAGGTTACCTTCCTGTTGGCGTTTAGGTTGGCAGCAGGGATTTGAAGAGTGACTTTGTACTCGGTTTTCTTGTCCAGTTCCTCAGCAATGAAGTTTGCCTCTTGTACCAGCAGATTGGCCTTTACGATCTGCTCTCGAAGCTTCCGTAAGCTTCTTGTAAGCACTGCCTCTCTGGACCAAGACAGAGGTCATCAGGTCAAGTTTGTTATATTAATAAATATAGAGGAATGAGTCAGTTGGCACAAAAACACCAGTATTTCTACTTTGACTAAGTGTGCATTATCCCTGACATGTACTGATAAAACAAATAAAATGAATAAACATAAATAACTAAAATTAACAATAATATAGTGACAGAAACGTGCTTGTAATGTATTTTGACACAAGTCTACTGTAGCATATCATGTCTGTTTTCAGTAAGGTGTGCTCCAACCTCTCCTCGCTCCACTGGCGCAGGCGATTTTGGGCACTGGAAGAAGAGGACACTCCTCCTAGGCTGAGTCTTTCCATGCTGCGGTAGTGCTGTTGCGAAGGCAAGGCCTGTGTGCTTTGCCTTTCTGGAGTCAGTCGTCTGCGCAGCTGCTGCAGCTCCTGCTCGTACATCAGCCGCTGGCGTTCCAGAGCAGATCGCTTCTCCTCCTCATGCTGCCGCTCCAGACTCTGCAGGACTGCCTGCATGGGATCTGCAGAGGGACAAGGAGAAATCAAATCAGAATAAGAACATCACAGAAATCAAAGATGCATATCCAAAAATAACTACTAAAAGTATTTGAACAGTAATTGGATTAAATCAGCCCTCTTTTAAACTTGGCACACTATTTTTAGTGCAATCATTCCTTTCGTTGGACTCACCATTGCTCCCCAGTGCCTTCATCATGACCTCTGTCTGTGCAAACTCATAGCTGAAGCTGACCTCACTAGACACTTCGCTGGCTGTGTCTCCATCTGCATCTAGCTGCTCACTGCTATTACTGTTTTTCATATTGCCCCCTTCACCCTCTTCTTCTTCAGCCGCAGGCCGCGCACGTCGCTTTGGAAGGTTTATCCTGGAGGACAGACAGCAGGGCCAAAAGGCTGACATTACACTGAGTGTACGCAATCGAGTACAACAGCTAATGACCAGAAATCAAAAGACCTTTAACCAAAATGAACTCGGCTCCTCTGTTAAGTATATTTTAACCTCATTTTTCACAAGCAATCCGTCACTGGTGAAAAGACTGACCTAAAAAAGTGGTTGTTGCCCCACAAAATGCGGTCACCATGATGCAGTTGCTGCTGGCTTGTGACAGGAGATCCGTTTACACATGTCCTGCAACATGACAAAACAGTAGTTTTAAACAAAACAGTTTTCTTCATTGAGTCCATTTCTGTAAATAAGTCTCTATGCTGTAAATATGCAGAACTAAATGGCAGAACTAGTCCATTGTTTCTAAAAAATTCTCAGTTTCTAAAAAGTAAATTAAGCTTGTTTTGCAGTTATAAAAATTTATTTTTCAGCTCTTCAGATAGTATGATCCTTGACCTAAAAAACCCACACAACAATAAACAATAAAAAAGGACCATTGGTTAAATTACTGTAATAATGAGGCAGTCTACTGACTGAATGCTAAATTACCTAGAGTTCCTGTAGGGATTGAGGAATACGGCCCCCTCCGGAGTGATGTCGATCACGCAATGCTCAGCCTGGATGCCCATCCCACATAACTGAATGTCCTGGGAGTCTGCTGAGCCCACCTTGGTATGCTCCTGCAAAACAATCCCATATTAGCTGTCCATTAACAACAAACTGAAGGCTACAACTACACAAACTACTCTGTAAGCAATTTGCTCTAAATATTCCTTATACATGCAATGACTTACAAGTGTTGTAAGTAGTAGTAAGTAAGTAGTAATAAATGTCAAATAAAGAAGGTATGAAGTCCAAAGCATCAGCGTATTTGAATAATAGTAGGATTTAAGTGCTGATCCGAAGAAGCAACTTACAGAGTATCTGCTGTGTCACCTGTCTAAAGGAAAAAAGCTACGCAAACAGTAGCATACCTTCAAGTAGTAAACTAGCAGTTCATTGAGGGCAGGGTCAGCATTAAGGTTAACTAGGAAACATTTGTCCTCTCCCACACGGATCCCTGATGACTGCAAGGAGATACCCAGGCTCTCCAACTGTTTTTGCCTCTCCTGAAGAAGGTGAGAATTATGTCACGATTTTTGTTCAAGTCTGCACTTATAAAGCTATAATTTCTGTAAATGTTATAGCATGTAAATGATAACATCATTATACATTATATAACATCATAGTCACCCCAATCAGGCTGTGACTGATTCACTTTTCAAAGAAGGGGCTATAATGTGACAAAGGTTACTTGTGCAATCTCCTCAGTCTTCCTTAGCTTCTCCTCCCAGGTGACTGTCATCTCCTGGATCAGCTTCTCAGACTCCTCCAATCTGTCCTTCAACTCTGGAGCTTTCATGGACTAAAGAAGACACAAACATCAAACTCAGCATCAGCCTACAAGTTTTCAGGTCACTGACCAAAAATTCTGATTTAAATGTTAATCACATTGTCTACTAGAGGTGCAGACCGTAGATAGCAACTCTATTTGATTACAATTCTTTAGGAAGCTCTTCGGTGCATCATGTAATTTCTTGTTTTTATTTGATTCAATTCTTTTGGTACACTACATATCTTAAAAATATACAAAAGAAGCGGCTGCAACATGAGTATAGAGCGAAGAGAGACAATAAAAACATTACATGAAACATTCGTATGGATATTAACATTGAAAAATATATTTGGCCAAAGATGAGCACACACTATCAAATATTATTATAATCCATTATAACATTCAAAAATGATTGTGGTTGAATTGCCTCCAGATTGATGCATCAGTGCATTTAGAAACCATTACTGCCTGCTGAGGCATGTTTGGTTAGGGTGTACCTCTGCTTGTGTGAGCTGGTCTCGTAGCTTCTCCACCTCCTCCCTCAGCTCTCGGATGATCCTGGCGTTGGGGTCCTCATTCACCACAGCGTGGTTGACTATACTTTTCGCTCGGTCAGCATAGCGCAGCGTGGATAGGGTCTCATCGTAGTTATCAGCTGCCGGGCTCACTGTGGCCACCATGGCAGTCCGGCTGTTCCCACCTAAACTGTCCTGCAATCAGAGGGAAGGAGGGGTGCAGATTAGTGGACAGGAGCATAGAGAGATGGTCACTTTCCAGAGAATACTCAGTGATTCATACATCATGAACTGTTTTTGTGTGTGACACTGTCTATGTAATGCAGAGACAGAGAGAGAGAGAGAGAGGAGAGACAGACACAGAGTGAGCATGTAAGGTGGAGAAGGAGAGAAAGGGAGCGAGATAGAATAGGAGAGAGAGAGTGTGAAAGAAAAGGGAGAAAGAGGGCAAGAGAGAAAGTAAAGGCAAAAGAAAAACAGCATGGGGGAGAGAGACAGCACAAAAGAGAGAGAGAGAGAGCGCGAACATGTAAGGTAGGGAGGCAGAGGAAGGAAGCAAGAGAGACCGTGAGAGAGAGTGTGAGAGAAAGGGGAGAAAGGGCAAGAGAGAAAGAGTGAGGAGAAAAAGATAAGGAGAGCAAAGGAAAGAAACAGAACGAGAGGGAGAGAGAGCAGAGCAAAAGAAAAACAGAGCATGGGAGAGAGACAGCATAAAGGAGAGAGAAGGGAAGATAGAACAAAAGGGGAATGAGAGAGAGAGAGAGAGAGAGAGAGAGAGAGAGAGAGAGAGAGAGAGAGAAGAGGGCAAGGATGACTAAGAGGAAAATGGGGAAACCCTGTGGAAATTTTTCCTGTGTTGATGTGGCAGATCCACTGGCGTTACCTTGAGAAGCCATGTGAGCACCGAGTCTCGGTATGGCACAAACTTGCTCTTGTTCTTCCCCGCACCCTGGTCAGCCAGCGCTGAGATCACCAGCCCCAGAGTGGTTAGAGACCTGCCCAGGGTGCCAGAAAGAGAAACAGAGAGTGAAGCAGAGAGCGTGTACAGTGCCCCTCTATGCCCACACACATTCTCCTCTTCACTTTCACAACACACAAAGCACACAAACCAAAAGCCAACCTCTTAGCTGGATTTATTAACCACCTAATGATCAACATCAGGACAAACTGTGCCTCAAAAGTTTAACATTTTCACATGCCTGGCCTTCCAGAAAATGAGCTGCCTCTCAGCCAAAGTAAAGAGCAGCCGAAATAAATACCATAACCACTCATAACTGCAAAATTACACCATTACTCAGAAACACTTAGACCTTTATTGAAACTGTGAACCACGTGAGAAAAAAACAGGATAAAAATAGATGAATGCATCATGGAGAAAGTGCCACATCAAAGCTTAAGTACTGTGTTGTGTTCAAAGAGACAGAGAAGTGTAATGGTTATGTACTTGTTAATGTTGCTGCCTTCCTTCAGTCTCTCGCCAGCCGCACCAGTCTTCGCTGCTCTCTCACTTCCAGCCAGATCCACTAAGCTCAGCTTACTCACCTTCTCTCCACTTGTCTGCACAGAGAGAAAGAAAGACACAGAAAATTTACTCACATTCAAACATCCAAGGCTGCAGGGTGATTTGATTAAAGCAGAAAAACAATCTTCACCTTCATGCAACCCTTACTATTTAAGCATTTTCATGCCTGTCAGGCTTTCCCCTGCATCCTTCCTCCCCAAAATAGAGAGACTGCTTGAATATTTGTGTATGAATGACTACGCTGCCCAAACTGCACTAAACTGTCAAACAGAGCATGAACAAAGGCAAATGAGGCCATGCCAACAAGGACACAAGTATCCATTGTTCTCCTCTGTCCAGCGCACTGCTGCAGTATGAAGAGCAGCCAGGCGAGCACAGACCTTACTATAAACACCATTACTCACATTACCATCCGAAATAAAGCGTTGCTGAGAGGGGCAGGACACGAGAGGGTGAATTGGTGGAGTGGAAGGAGGGGATGGAGACAAAGACCACAGTGCAACAGCATTTGTACTAAAAGAGTTAAAGCCTTATACTGTCACTGTTGTAAACAAACCTTGTATCTTTCATATAATTTAATTAACCTTTAATATCACAACATTTTAATGTTCCCAAAGACCATTTCTACTGGTCTTTCCAAGTAAAGCGCAACAGTACTGTGCAAAAGTCAGAGAGACCCACCCTTAAGATATTTGACTTTCAGTTTAAATGGCCATTAAGTACAAGTTATTCATTTTTCAGTTTCAAGAAAAAAGCAGAAATCAATAATACACATTTTTTCAGTATTTAGTGTGCATTCACCCCAAATTTCTAGAGAGACTTGCTTTCAGTTTTTCAAAGAAATTTGCATGCAGATTTTTCCACATTTCTAAAGTTTAGTCTTAGAAGTTGGTTGCTCATAGTGCTGAGCTGTCTTCTCACAGTGGAAGGATGGACAGCACACCTGTGGATTTTTTCAGATCGGAAGCAGCTTGATTTTCTCCTCTCTCTCAAACATAAAAGCTTTAAGTGTTGTTTATGTGATAGGGACAGTGCTGGTGTCTACCAGGTCTTGCACTATTACTACTGTAGTTTTTAATCATTTTTTAAACTCCAGGTTCGGAAACTCCTGTTTTTTCAAATATTTTCCTTTGACGTTCTTTCCTCAGAAATATCTTTTACAAAAATGAATAACTTGTACTTAATGGCCATTCTGACTTGAAATTAAATAAATAAAAGATGGTCTCTGTCTTTTGCACAGTACTGTAAAAATATAATATAAAGGTGGGGGCCGTATTTCCTTTTATGTACTCTTTTATTCACTCACCAGGTGAACTGGTTAGCAAACACAATGCCGAGCCACTATAAGACCAGACAAGGACAAAGAAAACATGAATCAGAGTGCCACACCTGCTCTCAAAGTTCAACAATGGCAGAGTGTAATTTGCATAGGGAAATCTCATGTAAAAAGATTTTGCACTCATCATTTCTTGTCTAAAGATCCAAACTTCCATCACGTAACCAGGGTAAAAAGATGTGTGCAGTTAGAGACATGGTTAGCCTTTATTTCTGGGTCTGCTTGAATGGTGGGACTGCTACTATATTTAGAGCCACATCTGCATTTGAGTGCAGTGCACCTGTTGAGTAAGAGGCATGGTTCAGTCACTGCTGAATTATTGATCTGGAAGGGAAGTGAGCTGAATCAGGTGACCGTAGCAAAAAAGGCAGTGCAGAGAAACGCAGCAACAAAAGCACATGGGCCAGAGATAAGCTGAAACTTGAGTAAGGAAAACGTATAACTTATTCATTGATTTTCCTGCTTTTTGAAGTCACAGCTCTCTTGGCTTTGAGTCATACAGGGTGGATAAAGTAAGGCCTTCTATGTGTATACTGAGCTTTCCTTGCTTCCCTTCCTTTCTAGTAGCCCTGAACGAGCTCATAATGTGCTTGATAATATGCTAATGCGTTCGGTTGCATTAAAATAGTGAAAACAGAAAAATGTGCAGAGAGTGCAGTGCCTAGGACTGGGATTAGGAGAAACTGGAACTAAAGGACACAACACTACACATTACAGAAGGTGGTGAAAGGAAAGAAAGTTAAAATGCATTTGCATGCAGGGCCACTGATAAAGAGAAAGTCAAACATCAGCAGCAGTGCAGCAATGATAAGTTAAACCTTACCCCAGACTGCAGGTCTTTGAGTGTATGTGTGAGGATGATGTTGAAAACTGCGTGGGAGCGACTGCTCTCCTCATTCATGTTGGTGGCAGCCACTGTACGAGATTTATTCCCCTCAGACATCAATGACTCAATGTCCTTCAGGAAAATGAAGACAGGGACAGATTAAGTTCCTCATTTATACTTAGAGTTTGTACACATACTGTACTTCTACTTATGAATGGTATTTTGTAAATCTTCAAACATTACAGAACGTAGCATTTGTAGACCAACACTGCAGGGAATCCTACTGGCTCTCACACAAAAATGCGTAAGGGACCATGCAAATGGCTAATTTGCAAAGCAATGTAGCGATGAAAGGTACATTCATCACACGTAATTGCCAGTCCCACAGTCAATTATGTTAGAGATCCATTATCACCACTGCTAGTGCGAGAATTGTCAACTGTAACCACGTGAGAATGATTTTCACCAGCAGTACATCATCAAAAAGCCATTATATCAATAACTCTCACAACCCAGAGATCTACCCTATTTCTTGGTGTACTGCATGGTGGCAGGCATCAGCTAGTCTTATGCAAAAATAACTTATCAACTGCAAAACATTTCACTCTGTAAAAAACCTCAATATGGATGAATTGTTTTTGGTCTGCAAAATAAAAATATCACAGCTGTGAAAGTCTAAAAAGGGGAAAGCAGTCAATCAGTTTGTCTGACAGGATTTTGGTCGTCTGTCAACACTAGGCACAGTTTACCTTATAGCTAGCCACAGCAAGCCGAGAGAGTCCATCCACATACGGTCCAAGGACTTTGTGTTCTCGTACTCTTAGAGCCTGTCGACTCCTGTGGAAAATACACACAAGCATTGGAACAGAACCACTGATGGAACGGAATTAATGAAATATCCAAAATGTCCACACCAGCCTGCGCCTTGGACAGCAATTTACTTACATGGTATCATGCTTACTGCCAGCATTAACTTTCATTAACTGATGGATGCAGTAAGATTGTCAGGTAAAAAAATGCCTTCAAAAGACTTCAAAAGTCCTTATAATTAAGACAAGGGGGATGATTTTACATGGAATGATATTGATTTCAATATGCAAACATCAAGGAAATCAAGAAAAGAATCAAGAAAAATGACTTACAGCCAAGTATTTCTAAGCCTTCCGAGTCATTTACTTTCTTTTACAATTAACTACCAAGTTGATTATTTAATTCTAGACCTGTCACAATCATGAAATTATTGCTGGTCTAATTAATTGCCATATACATAACTGGGATTAAAATTTAATTGTTATTATATTCATTATATTCATCTCTTGAAATACAAGCCTAAATTGACTGATTAACTATCTTGTTTCCTAGCTGCTAGACCCCAACTGATGACAGACAGCTCAAGTAAAAGGAAACATTACTCAGCGCTGCCCTGTAAAGGTATTATAGCACAGAGTTAGAGGCTAGAATCTTTTTTTTGTTGATTTTTTTAAAAAGAGACCTGATGTTTCTCAACAAATGTTTTATGCTTTCTTTTATTTACATGGATTTGCTTCGATCCAACTGATGAAGAAGCACTCAATTCACATCCTGTTTGTTACTACATAGACATATTTTAAAATCCAATAACTGTGGAAAACAACTTCTCAGCTTAAATAATTGTGATCAACTCAAATAATTGCGATCAGGCGATTATGTAATACTTGTGACAGGTGATGTGTGTGTGTGTGTGTGTGTGTGTGTGTGTGTGTGTGTGTGTGACAGGCCTACTTAATTCACCACTAATTTGTTATTCAGCTGTAAAGGGCCAGGTGATTTTGGGGTCAGTTCTTCCAATCAATTTCATACTAAAGCAGAATAATCTCTTTAAACAGAGTAGTGTTTGTCACTATTAATCGATTACATCATGTATGAAGACCCTCACCCTTTAGGGTCCAGGAGGTCTCGAACTTTCTCATTGTAGATCTCCATGTAGGAGACTTCTACAGTGAAGCTCTCCTCCTCTCTCTGTTGCTGCACTGTGCGCTCAAACAACGAGCTACAGAGCCGGGGGATTAGACCTGGCTGGTCCACCGAACCCATCATGGTATACGACTTCCCTGAGCCTACATACAGCAAAAACAAACATGATATTAAAACGCTGTAATAAATAAACAGATGTACACACTTTTGTGCTGTTCACAAAATATCTATTAAAATGAATAATTAATAACACAGTCATCACCAAGGACACTAATAGGTTATATATTGATTGTATAAGTTTATAATGCATTATATGCTGTGTAGGGAGCCTGTCTCACCAGTCTGCCCATATGCGAAGATGCAGGCATTGTAACCCTGGAAGGCATTGTGCAAAAGACTCTCCCCAAGGCACTGGAACACCACATCTTGACCTGCAATAAAGGTTAAAGAGAGTTAAAAACAGTTCCACTGTCAGAGTAACCAACAGAGACCAGAGGAGACCATCAACAAAGCTTTGTTTATGTAACACACATCAAAGTCACATTCTTAGAAAGTTATTACATTTGCTTTTACTAGAATTCTCTGACATCATCTCTGTAAATTTATGTGGAAAATGCTCTGTTCACTTTTGAGTATACAACTCTTGGATACAGTGTCTAAATATAGATGGTTTAAGGTGACACAGCACTGCTTAAAAAACTCAATCTGTCACATTAAGCTTAGCTTCTGATTTGTAAACATAACCTTGTCACCAGCAGGCTGCTGAGACACCGGAAACACAGAGAGTGTTTACTGTCATCCCTAAACTAATAGCTAATGCATGAAAACAGAGTAAAAAGGGCAGTCAGAGCTCACCTGCATATTTCTCCTTTTCTGATTCATCCATGGACCAGAAACAGTAGTCATAGGCAAAGACCTAAAAGCCATGAAATACACAGATACAGAGATATAGAGTTATACATACACAAATTATCTAACGGTCTGTTAACTTTATTATTATTAGATTATTCATTTGGTTATTTTCATACAAGAGTTTTCCAAAGAGATAGATTACCTTGGGCTGACTCCTGCTACAGGACATTCCAACATGGAGTGGTTGCACATAAGGGGAAGAAAAAGATTCAGTGAGGTGAAATGGTTAATTGAGAAACATGATGACTTGGATTTCTTATCAATGGTGGTGACTGGAACCAGCAGTTGCAATGTCTAGACTTGTATTTACTAACTATTTTATTTACTATTTACTACATTTTGTTCACTGATCAGTAAACCGAATGTCTTCAGAGGTTTTATATGCAATGTTGATAGTGGTAAAATAGTCGTAAATTCAGGGGAAAAAAATTCTATGGGTACTACTTTGACTTAGATCGCCTACATGCAGCTTTCCACCATGAATAAAAACAAAACAAAACAAACAAACAAAAAAAAGTTTTAAATTTTTTTAAAAATCCTATCACAAAACTATAATAAAAACAATGCCTCAGACATAAAGCAGCGCATTAGTAACCACTGCATGTAATCGTTTTAACTCTGAGGTTTCTCTATAAAGGCGCATTTCACATCAAACCATAATGAATGACTTTGTTTATATCTTAACAATTTAATCTATGCAGTAAATCTAAAAAATTGGTGCAATTCCCCTTTAAAGCACAATTATTACGCTAGAATTAACTACTGTTCATGCATGACTTTGCTGGACCACTAGCTGACATTCAGAGACAAAAGACAAAAATGAGGCACATTTTTCCTAAACATTTAATATAAATGTGTATTTAATTGTTGCAGAAAAATGATTATGGTCAATAAATATCAATTAAACCCCTTCTGTGAACCCAGTGACTCAAGGGGGACCAAATTAGCACACTATCAGTAACATGCATGAACGGGCAATAGGACCCAGGAACTGAGCTCCTATTCACAAAAAAACATGAGCGAGTCCATGTCATCAGTTGTACTTTGCTCAGTGGACCTGAACACAAACAGATCATCACTCGGTGAGAAAGGGCTGGAAGTACTGAGTAAATACGCATTCAGAGCTCTGACTCAGAGCTGTGCTGTCTGTCAAGGAGAGCTTGATGGCTCTGCACAGCAACACATGAATACAATGACCTATATAAACAGTTCTGACAGACTGTGGGGGACAACTGAAGGAACCTAATCTCTCTGAGAGGGTGCATATCCAGACCTTATTTCAACTATGATGTTTGCGAGATAATGAAAAAGGCTCTGTTTAAGACTGTCTGTTCCTGCCTTTTATAAAAAAAAAACATTACTGCTATACCGCCTATCACTAATGAAGTGCAATTACAGTCTGTTTATTTCTGCCTCCTGCACATACCATATTCAAAAACAGTAATAATGACCATGTTCAGTGGCAACGATCTCTGTTGCTCCAATCTGATGCGTGCAATTCCGAGAAAGCGCATGGAAGTCAGTGAAGCATGTGGAGGAACGGCACAGCCAGCAGAGCAGGGCAGAGAGCGAGAGAGTGCTGGGGAAAAAGTATGCCCTGCTTCAGTTCCAATGACCCCAGGCTCAGCTTGTCGTTTAAAATCAGGCCATGCCACGCCACGCTCTCTCACTGTATAATAAGCGGAACAACAACGTCTCCCATCACATTGCAGAAATAGCTGGGAGAGAATCGGCCCCCCTGCAGGAAGTGTCAGGATGAACTTCATCTCGGGGTGCCGAGAGAGGAATGCTGGGTGGCAGGAACAGGAAAGGACTGACAGAGCCGGTATGTTAAAAGCTGGCTGGAGGCAGAACCTCACTGCAACAAAATAAGTCTGTTTTTTAGTGACAAACCCGCAGTTCTGACGCCGAGCAAAGACAGAGGCAGAGAACTGCCTATTCTTAGAATGTGACTGTGCTGCTTTCTTTTTCTCTATTGTCTCTTATAATGGCTATCAAACTGAGTGACTGTTTCCAAAAGCTTTAAAGCTTTCTAAACCACAGTCTCTAACCCGCCTCTGTGTGTTTGGTCTTAAATTATTTCAGGCAAGACATCCGAAGGCCAGATGATTTCCTGCTGTTCTGCGCACAACTGAATGTGTATGTGAGAGACAGAGCTCTCAAAGAGTTATGACTGCAGCTTACAGTCACAGAAACCACGGTAGATTAAAAATATTTCATTTATAAAACATAAAATGATGAAAAAAACTTCCTTGGCCTTAGCAGAGGCACTGTGTAAAGCTTAACCGCTAAACCTAAGCTAAGATATGCTGGGTAATTAATGTGGGCCCCATGTGAAATGGCCCAGTGTCCTATGCTAACTAAGCTAACCCAGTGAAGCAGTGCCGACACAAAGCGGGATTCAAACCCACCACTGCCAGGTGCGCAACTGAATGTGTATGTGAGAGACAAAGCTCTCAGGGAGTAATGAGTGCAGTTTATAGTCACCGAAACTGTGGTACCTCCTTTGCCAAACAATCATCAGTCCAATGGGAAACACATGACTGTTTATCAAACTAAAGGCTAACAGCAATCAATTACCATCTCTGCATACCAATGAGCCTTTCAGAGCAAAATACAGTCGCTGCTATCCCATTTTATCCCATAAGTTTAAAGAGGGCTGTATTCATTCATGTTACAATTATAACTATATTCTGCACAGATGGCACAGGACACCCTTAAAAACCAGTGGATCACTGAGTTAATTTGACTGAAAGCCAACATATTACCAAACAGGTGAACTGGCAACCTTCTTCTGGACAAGCTTGTCTATTTCCCTTCTCAGTAGAGTAGATCTCATGTGCTGGAGTTTCTTTGTTTCATCTGAATGTTGCCCAGCAGTCTTTGTGAGACCGAAAATCTGTTACAGACCTAACCTTTCCAAGCACCAGTCGAGGTATGCATGCGTGCAGTTAACTAGGTGGTAATGTTCTGTTTGTATAGCCTACAGTTTTTAACTAACCACAGATTAAAACGGTTGTACAAAGGGAATGATGAAATAAATAAACAAATAAATAAATAAGACATGGCCCATGATAGAGAACAATAAGTTACATTAAATAGACACAAATTATTGCAATATTTGACAAGCCCAATTATCAGCTGAAAGTTACTGTACTGTAGCTCTCTGATCATGAACACTGCAAAATTCATGTACAGTCAACCACTGATAGCAAGCATGAAACTCAACTGCCCAAGTTCAGTAATCTGGTTCAGCTGTTCACTGTCCCATCGGCTTTGCTAGAAACATAACGCAGCCTATCGCCCTGTTTTAACACGGCTGCAGTGTGCATCTGCACAGCATCAAAATGCCAACTGCACAAATGAAATATGCGCTCCAGCCCTCTAAAGTGTCTCTGTCTGCCTGCTTTGCAAGATCCACTTATGAATTATGTTGATCCTGAGAGCGAAAGCATATGGTTGTTATTACCAAAAAATGCCTGTGCGACAGGTGAGACCAATCATAGGAGATAACCAAGCTAGAGGATCAGTGTAACTACACAGACTTTAGTGTATTTGAGATTTTTAGTGTCTATTACTCATAGGATTTCTTTCATGATGTCACTCAGCAGTCCTGCAAGTCATTCTGAGCTTTAGTGAACAGCACTGTTTCATCTTCATTTCTGGGTGAGCACTTATATGAGGGAGGACTGACAGTGTGAGGCTTGCAGCTACAGCTGCTGATCTCCTGCACAGTGCACACGCACAGTTGTTCCTTCCTTCTCACACCCACCCACCCACGCACACACACCAACGCATAATATAAATTTCACTCTTGCATAGCTTTAAAGTTAGACAATTGGTGCTGGCAAAGCCAAAAAACAACATGTACCTTCACACCTCAATCAGAATAGACTAGTCCAATTGAGACCATTCAGAATACAGTTTCACTTTGATTGAATGAGGTGGGTAATACTGTAAATAATCAGTTAAATAGAAGAATAATAACCATGTAAACGCCTGGATCTGATTACATTCCCAATCAGAAGGTATAAGTATGTTCGGTCTCACTTTATTTGGATGGTCAACTATAGCCCCCCATCGATTACCTACAGATGTTCAAACTGTTAACAAACTATCTGTTGAAATTCGGTTGATTCTAAACAGTGGTGGGGTTAGGGTTAGGATTTGGACCAGGGTTAGGGCTAGGACCAGTGTAAGGGTTGGGTTTAGGTTTTGGGTTGGGGTTAAGGTTAGGGCTAGGAATAGAGCCAGGTTTAGAGTTGAAGAAAATTGTGGTCAGTTAAGTATATATTTAGTTGAATGTAACTTGAAAGTAAATTAAGTATCTACAAAGCATCTAATGTGGACTATCCAAATAAAGTGTTAGCGTTTGTTCTGCACATGTGCGTCATGTCATAGCCTAAGTTTATAATGTTCAACATGGCGGGAGCAGAAAACTGGTCTGCAGAGGAGACGAAGTTTACGCTTTGAACTTTAAAAAGCGGCAGTGGGACGGGTGTCCATCTTATGTGTCTCAAAACACGACGTCTTCCTCTCGCCCTTCTTTAATAAGTACATTTTCCTGAGTATGTTTTCCTGAGTTTGCCAAAAATTTAAGGTTTATTTGGATAGAAAAAAAACAAGCACCCATTATGAGTCACCACAGTCAGACACTGTAGAGAAATGTCTCGCGCCTTATTGTGTGCCACATCTGTAAAGTATAACTATGGGGAAACACTGTGAGCCTTGACGTTGCTAATGTGATGCTAAGCTAATGTATCATTTTATTACTACAGTAATACTACAGTTAACATGGACCGCTAGCTATTGCGCTCTCATAAGTGAAGTCATTCGCTTACAGCAGGATCCTGCAACAGGTAGGAGCAGGAAGCAGCATCTATTTACGCTACAAACAACACAGTAATAAACCTCCATAACCAGCACTGTTAACACATTTAGAAAAGCTTACTTGCTGGAACAAGCTGATGTATATTTATTGCTAAATTTGATTGGTACTTTGGCAGATCTGACATCACCTATGCCAAAGTTAGTCCCACCTCAAACAGAACTGAAGAAAACAGCATAAAAAATGTTTTCATTTTAAAAACGTCTCAACCGAAAAGCCTATTTAGAAGCATCAATTTAATACAGCTCAGATAAATGGCCTGAAAACAAT